CAAACAATTGGATGAACTTTCGCTTAATTTTATTGCCTTGCGCTTTGGAATGTGATCAAAGATGCTGTGTTGATAATTTTTGGTTTTTTGATGTCAAAATTGAGTTTTTTTTACCTTTTGTCAACTGAAAATGTTGTCGGGACGCTTGGAATACTGTGAAAATTCAATTTTTAATGCTGATCCTTTAAATAAGACTTTAAAATTTCTGAAAAAAATTCCTTGTGGCTATAAAAAAATAATCAACGTCGCTCTATTGATAACTTGTCTTATTTATCAAGATTTTTAACAATTAAAAAAATTATTTTTTTGAGTATTTTTTTATCAATAGAGCTCATTATCACTTCAAAAACGGCCACCCACGCTTCATTAACTTTTAATTCATATCCAGGAGGAAAAAATAGGATTTTTTTATCAATAGAGCGAAAATGAATGGAAAAAATGGCCGTCAATGCGATATTTTCTACAAAAACTTCGTAAAAAAAATGTAAATTGAACAATTTTCGCGCCCATATTTTGCCATACATTTCGCTCAAATTTAAAACTTTCAAGCCATTTTCAAAATATCAAGTTTGCTTCATTGATAATTTTGACCATATTTTCCGTATCCCTTGAAATTACTCTTTATAAACTTTCCATCCAAATTCAGGAGGGAAAAAAATAGGATTTTTTTATCAATAGAGCAAAAAAATGAGTGGAGAAAATGTCCGTTAGAGCTTTGTGAATAAAAAAATTTGATTCAAAGGATTTTCGCGCCATTTTATAATTATAATGTTTGCTCCAATCAAAAAAAGCCATTTTTAAACATCAAGTTTGCTCTATTGATAATTTTGGCCATAATTTATCGTTTCCGTCCCTTTTAAACCTCATAATTACCCTTCATGGGTGCCCCAACGAACAAGCCAAAAAGAACCCGGAAAAAAAAAGTTTCCAATCAAAAAAAGCCATTTTCAAACATCAAGTTTGCTCCATTGATAATTTTGGCCATAATTTATCGTTTCCGTCCCTTTTAAACCTCATAATTACCCTTCATGAGTGCCCCAACGAACAAGCCAAAAAGAACCCGGAAAAAAAAGTTTTGCCGCCGGATCTTCTCTCATTTAAAATGACCCACACGCGATGGACATTTGTCATTTTTCTGGGTGAAGTTTTTTTTTTTTGAGGAAGAACAATTTTCTTCACGGGCGTGGGTCGGCATTTCCAAGCATCTCGTGTCAGTTCTGACTTATTTCAGCCATCAGAGGTCACCTTTTTTTGATTAGTTATTCAAGGTAGGGTGTGTGTAGTTTGGTAAACAGACTTGCCGTGAGAAAATGTTCTCCAAAAACGACGAAAAATGTTTTTTCACAGCGATTTCCTGATCATTCAGAGATCTCCATTAAGGAAAATCTAAATTTAGTCGCGAATGACTTTTTTTATCCTTGGAGCGCACTTGAGAGGTACAATTGAGCTTTTTTGATTTGAAAAATGAACTTCTGTAGTTTAGAAAGTTTTCTACGTGCTTTTTAGTTATGACAAATAGAACATCCTTACAAGGAGGTCATTTTTCTTTTCGGTTGGGAATTTCTGGAAAATTTGTCAAAAAGCTCATTGATGTACTAGGAAAAGGTCCTGGAAGTCTCGAAAAGCAGGTTTTTCCAGTTTTTGAGAAAATTGACCTCAAAGAAAACTCTCGAAAACCGTTGAAATGGACCATTATATTAAATTGTTTGACGTTTGATTCAATTTTTATCGGATTTTTGACTGAATAACCTTGATAACAAAAAAAAATCCCCCCTTTTTGAACTTTCCAATAATCCACAGAGCAAACTTCAACCCGAAACAAACGATTATTCTCCTTCCAGGAAGTAGAAAAAAAAGCATCCTCCAGCGTGGTTCCTTAGGCCGGTAACTCGACACGTTTTCTCCTCGAGAAAAGACAAATGATAGAAAAAAAGGAAGAAGCTCCTTTTCTGGTTGAACAAAAAGGACACGAAAACAGACGTCTCCTGTTACGGGGGTGATGTGTATCCGATTTTTCTCGTGTTTTGAAAAAATCGCCGTTTCCCTTTGTGCTTTGTTCGCTCCATTGATAACATGTCCCCTCAAGTTTTAGATATATCCACGGCTGGCTTGGGGGCGTGGCCTGTCTGCGCTCTCCACGAGCTAGACACTCTCGCGCATTTTCGTGTCAGGACCCTTTTTTTGATGGCTCAAGCCTCAGCTAAAGAGTGATGCCGAATTCAAAGTAATCCCGGCGGCTTCAAAATGACCCGTTTTTTGCTCAAGATGATCTCGCGAAAAAAACAAAAGCAGGATCCTGGAAGCTGTTAAAAATGGGTCCTACAACGATTTAACGCGATAAGGAGCTTCTTACGGTAGAATTTACGCGCGAATTCGAATTTTTAGTTGAAGATGGTCCAGTAATTTCAAAGGAAGGCGCATGAAAATGGGTCCCACAACGATTTATCGCGATAAGGAGCTTCTTACGGTAGATTTTACGCGCTAATTTGAAATTTTCGCCAAAAATACCAAATTATTCGAAAATTTGAAGTTCGCGCGCAAAAGTCACCGTAAAAATTCCCTTATCGTGATAAATCGTTGCAGGACCCATTTTTCAGGCTCCTTCCGGAATTCTAATAAACAGTTCAAAATTTTCCGTTTTCGCTTGAATTGCGCTCTAATGATAATATAATTCAACTTTTTTTCCATTTTTTTGAAGAAGCTTTAAATTAAGATTTTAATATTCAAATTTTTTTAAAAAAATCAAAAAAAGTTGTCGGTTTTTGAAAATTTTCAAGGTTTATTTTCACTTAAATTGAACCTTGAAGTCGAATTTCTAAAGTTTCTTCGAAAAAATGATGCTTTGAACTTTCTCCCTTTACCGTATTACTGCAAGAAAAAAATTTGGTCATCTTTCCCGGGTCCTCCTGGGAGGTACCGCCCCCCGGGAAAGTTTTCCAAAAACTTGCTTTCAGACTCCGCCCCCTTGGCGGGCTCACTCGGACCCCTTTTTGCTCTCCGTTTTATTTATCAGCTGTTTGATGGCCGGTGTGAAAACGCCTGGGGGGCAGCAGTTGTCCTTGGATTATTTTTTTGGAGAAAAAAATTGGTCTTTTTTTAAAAAAAGTTTAATTTAAGTGCTTCTAAACTTGTGAAAAGGATAAGGACTTCAGGTTCTATTTTTAAAAATTTTTTTATTTTTGTTCCAGTCAGGTTTTTTTGGTTTTTTTCCCCTCGGGTTATGCTCTTCTTCAAGCCTGAGATTGGCTAAACTCCTTATATTTTTAAGCTTTTCAGGTTTTTATTTCTGAAACAACGTATTTTTTAAGTTCTTCCAGGTAGCTATCAATTTGAAGGGACACTACCTACTTTGGAAGATAAAAATTGCGATTTTCCAGTTCCATTTCTTGGCTTATCCTTCATAGGAATTCTTTTCCTTTTCTCATTTTTCATGCTTTTGACTTCTCACCTTCTTATTAAGTTCTGTTCAAGTGGTCATTTAAGAAGCCTGTCCTAGTATTTCTAACTCAAACTTTCTTCAAGCCCCGTTTTACATAGGCAAAGTCAGAATAACCCTTTACGGGCCCATTGAAGGTCCGTTATGGATCAAAAAATGTTCCTAAACGGATGGGAAAGGTTTCCTTTTTACTGCCTTTTTTCGTCCTTTCCTGGGCCTTTATCCACCCTTTTTGGACCCTTTCGAAAAATACAATTTTTAAATTGAGAATAATCTTTACCAGGGACTGTGTATAAACCAAAATGTGCTACAGTAATAAAATCGGAACTCATCAATGGCCGAACCTTTCTTCACCCTTTTTCGAGCCTTTTTTGAGCCTTTTTAGCCCACGAAGAAAGAAAGGCTCAATAAAGGCCGCAAAACGGGACCCTTTTAGCGACCATTTTGGAACCCTTTTCCGCTCTCTCGACGTTGGCCGTGTAGGGTCATTTTTTGCAAGCTTTAAAAAGGAAAATCAAAGGAACAGTTGCATTATTTTATCAGGTTTATACCACTCTATCTTTTTTTCTCGACCCCTCTAGAGCCGATTCAAAATATCAGACCCTAGAGTGACCACTCCGCCGAAGACATCCATCAAAACTTGTTGACTGGCCAGTGGGAAAATCGTAATATTTTCAAATATATACTTTTTCCTCCAAGGAAACATCTGCCCAGCTATTTTTACTACTATATTTTTGTTTATCACTTTTCGAAAAGTTCCTCAAAATTTTCCGATTTTAATAAGGGTTTTTTTATTTTTCTTTCTGAATTTCAAGACTTTTTTAAGCTTCTAGAACTCTCAAGTTGCCTTGTCGATTTCGAAATAGGAATTTTGATGATTTTCTTTGAGAGAGCGGTCACTTTAGGGCTTCAAGTTGTTTATTTTTGCCAAGTCCCTTAAGAAGTCACTTCGCTATGTCACTTGAGGAGTCACTTTGCTACGTCCCTCGGGTCACTTAAGAAGTCACTTTCCTTTGTTTCTCAGGTCCCTTAAAAAATCACTTTGCTTCGTCTCTCAGATCACTTAAGAAGTCACGTTGTTATGTCCCTCAGGTCCCTTAAGAAGTCACTTCGCTACGTTCCTCAGACCACTTAATGAGTCACTTTGATACGCCCCTGAGGTCCCTTAAGAAGTCACTTTGCTACGTTCTGGTTCCTCAGAAACATGCTACTTCTGATATTTGCAAGATAATTCACTTAAAAGATCACTTCAATCTATAAAAAGCTCCTCAAGGGGTCCCCTTCAGTTGTGATCGCTTGAGGGGTCACTTCAGCTGGTTATTAGCTACTTGAGTGTCCTTAAACGGCTCGCAACTTTAGGGGCTGCTTAAGTGACCTTTAACCTTTTTGGACCACTTAAGCAACCACTTGCTCTTACTCTCTTTCAGGCCTCTTAAATGACCTCTTCGCCATCATTTTGACACATATTTATATCAATCGATAGAGAATTTCTTGCAGAATCCCTTGAAAATCATCGGACGAATGCGATGAAGACGTCGTTCCGCGGTGAAGAAGACGAAACATCATGTGGTTGTACTTGACGATCAGTATCCTGTTCCTCTACACGATCCTGCTCATCGTCTTCTTCATGGGCTGGTGCACCTTGATCCCGAATCGGTACGTTTTTCGTGACTCGGCTAAGCGACGCGGCTGTGGATTGAATCTTTATTGAACTCAGAAGGAGATTTCAAAATCATGTTGTGTAGAACGAGGAATGGAATTGAACAACTCGGGTGAGCGACGCGGCTATGCGACGCGGCTATGCGACCCGGCTAAGCAACTCGGCTAAGCGACGCGGCTGTGCAGCTTGACTTTAGGAAAGATAGAAGTTCCCGAGTGGATCATGACTTGAGGAAAAGTTTCTCTTTTGGAAAGTTAGAGGTCTGGCTGTGCGACGCGGCTATGCGACTCGGCTGTGTTACGTAGCTGAGCGACCCGGCTAAGCGGCTTGGCCGTAGGCTTAGCAAGTTTTAAAGTTGGAAAATAAATCTTAAGAGCTTCTGAAAAGCAGTTTTTGTGAATTGGATGCGTGTGACTCGGCTGTGCGACGCGGCTATTAAAAGTATACAGGAGGTTTAAAGACAGTAGAAATTTTATTATGATCATGTAGGCCTTCAAAGCCTATGCATAAAGTATGTGACTCGGCTGTTTTCAGTCTCTTTTGCAAAAAGCTAACATCAGCAACACAACGATCATTGACACCCTGATTTTGCAACCGAAAAAAAACGTCATTAATATTATTGATAACCAGCAATTCATCATATCACCCTAGTTTGCCGGATTTTTGGTTCTCTTGGGAAATCGAGCCGGAAAATGAACAGTTGGCGTTGACACGCCACGTGGCGACACTATTAATGTTGTTTTCTTTCGTGTTTTTTCGAGGATTCTACTATTCTGACTCATTCAAACATGAATATAGCTAGAAAAATTATATGGGAAAAAAAAAATAAAATTTTGAAAAATTTATGGCTCTTTTTTTCATGCACAGTTTCGCTCTACGGATAACACCTTTTTTTAATTTCTAATAGTGCTTGTAGAGCAATAAACGACGACTAACTTCCCTATTTCTAAAAAAAAAGAAAGCAGTGATACTTTTCCTACGAAATGAAGAGAAATTTTTTTTTCTAGGCAAGTGCGCCCCGTTGAGAATATTTAGGCTTTGAGCTTATTTCTGCCCTATTTTTCAACATAAAGTAGCCCCTAAATTGAAATTTTCAGGTGCCACTCGCGCCGAAGTATCCCCTTCAGTACGGTCAAATCGCCGAGGCGCCATACCAAGTTCATCGAAATCGACTGCGTCTCTTCGAGGTAATCCTCAGCTAACATGAGCAACACCGTAACGTTTGAATGTTGCAGTACCTCGCTGGACATGTTCCCGCATCGGAAATCGACGATTTTGTCGGGTCTTCCGTTAAGAGAAAAGAAATTTTCTCTTCCGTTGGACGCCTCGAAGCCCTCTTACAAGGTGAGGGGTCACTTAAGTGCTTCGGGAGAATTGAGATTTCCAAGCCAACTTTGAACTTTTTGATCTTTGGGTTTGATCGCCTATAACTTGGTTCTTTTTTGATCTACGGAGGTCAATCCAAGTTTTCCTTGATCTCCGTGATCTCCTCTATCGATTGATACCAAACTTGACGAATTTTGAAATTTCGACCCCTCAGTTTGATCGCCCATAACTAAGCTCCTATTTGACCTACGGAGGTCAAACCTAGCCTCAGGTTATCTTCTCGACGAGATCTATCGATTGATATACATTTCGTCCAGATCGGCTTCCATGACCTCAGAAGCTCGAAAAAAACCTAAGGGGTTAGACTGCACTTTTTTCGATTTTCCCGGAAATCAAAGTTTTCCAGATTTTCACATCAGTCGATAGGAAATGACGTCAGAAGTTCTAAAATCCATGCGAAAAAGTCCCTAACCTCCTAGAAAAAAAGTTATGATTTCTGAGAGTTTATTATTGATCATAGCTCGACTTCTAGGGACTTAGGATTTTAGAGACCTAATTTTTCTTGACCTCTGTATTCTCCCCTATCGATTGATACCAAACTTGACAATTTTCAAGATTTTGACTTTTCAGTTTGATCACCTATAACTTGGTTCCTATTTGACATACGGAGGTCAAACCAAGTTTTTCTTGACCTCCTAGATCTAGTTTATCGATTGATACCAAATTTGACCAAATTTGAAGATTTTGACTTCTTAGTTTGATCACCCATAACTGAGCTTATATTTGACCTACGGAGGTCAAGACTAGCCTGCGGTTATTTTCTCAATAAAATTTATTCTCTGATATGCTGCGTGAAGTCATGAGACCTTGTTTTCCATTTTCTAACTTTGAAAGTTCAGGTCAGCGACTACCTGCACCCGAAGTACTCCCTACCGCCAGTCAAAATAGCAATATGTGATAGACAGGTGAATATTGACTCAAATTTGAACTTTCCAAAAGATCTCTGGAAGTTAGTGGATTCATGGAAATTATGGAGATGTGAAAGTGAGAAAAATAGAAAACGTATGGGAGAAAAGGCATTTTATCAACGTATATTAAATCAAATATTAAAATTTGTAAGCCCAGTCATTCTAAAAGTATTGTGGATTTTTTGAAACTGATTAGATCTTTTTTCAGAAGATTTTCGATACTTTATTAGATTCGGTGTTTTTCCAAGAGGTTTAGTCCCATTCCAAGTGATCATTCAAGTGGTTTTTCTCCTTTTAAAGATCCAGTGTACGATTTTTCTTTTTCACTGACCGGTGAGAGAGAAGAGAGCGCAGACATGTCAGACTCTTTGAAGTAGTGGCGAATGATGTATCTTTGGAGAGCCTACGATTCGCTTCAACTTGTTGAAATTATATCAATGATATCGAAATGAAATCAGTGAGAGAAAAGAGGGCGCAGACATGTCAGACTTTATGAAGAAGTAGCGAATGATGTACACATTTTGAGAGCCTACGATCCAACTCGTAAAAATGATATCGGTGAGAGAGAAGAGTGCACAGACAAGTTAGACTCTTTGAAATAGTGGCGAATGATTTATCTTTGGAGAGCCCACGGATAGCTCGAACTCGTTGAAATTATATCAATGATATCGAAATGAAATCAGTGAGAGAAAAGAGGGCGCAGACATGTCAGACTTTATGAAGAAGTAGCGAATGATGTACACATTTTGAGAGCCTACGATCCAACTCGTAAAAATGATATCGGTGAGAGAGAAGAGTGCACAGACAAGTTAGACTCTTTGAAATAGTGGCGAATGATGAACACATTTTGAGAGCCTACGATCCAACTCGTAAAAATGATATCGGTGAGAGAGAAGAGAGCGCAGACATGTCAAACTCTCTGAAAAAGTAGCGAATGATGTATCTTTGTAGAGCCCGTGATCACCTCCAACTCCTTAAAATGATATCAGTGAGAGAGAAGAGGGCGCAGACATGTCAGACTTTATGAAAAAGTAGCGAATGATGTATATCTTTGACTCATTAAAATGATATCAATTCTCTTCATTTTCAGTGGGAATTCGAGCAACTTCTCCGAACGCCGGCGCATTCCAAACGCTCGCTGAGCACGCCGTCGCACAAGGGCTCCGACGCTTCCAACGCCTCCAACGTTTGACCAGAAACTCTTCAGCTTCATTTTCGAAACGGGTCCCTCCCTAAAAGCCTTTCAAGCCCCACAGACAATAACGATAAAAACACTGGTCTATCCCTGAAAAAACCTCCCGCATATCCGCCAGCAGATTGCTCATTTTGTACCTAATTTGTAAATTTATTAATTCGATTAATGAATGTATTTGTTTGAAGACGATTTAGTAGTGAAGGTTACAATGTTGAACGGCATCAAAAACCCGTTATAAAATGGAGAAAATATACAATTAGAGGTTAAGAATTTCCTCGTTCTTCTTCTTCTTCAGCGAAAGGCATTTTCTGAGGTTTCCTCAGTATTTCGTTGACTTCCTGAACCCGTCGGTTGACTTCTTCGTCGTCGTCCGCCGCTTTTTCAGCGATTTTTTGAGTTTCCTCGTCGATTATGTTCAACACGTCTTGTACTGTTTCGCTTGGCGTTTCTGAAATATATTTTTCTTTTTTTTCGCACAAATTTTGACAATCTGATACAGTTTTTTCACACACTTCTGTTCCTGAAGGGTCCCTGATAGCTCCGAGGGCTCTAGAACTGCTTATAGCCTCTCAAAAGAAGAAAAACCGATCCCAAACATCGTTAAAATTCTTGCTAAAAGACCCCTAAAAGTTTTCAGAAATTCCTGGAGCCGTTCAAGTGTTCCCTTAGGTTCTTCAATCTTGACTGAATTCCTGAAGACTCAATTGATTCTAGTATCATTAAATGACCTCTCGAAATCTCCAGAAGTCCCTGGAGCCGTCAAAGTATTTTCGAGGAAACTCTAAATTGAGTCTAGAGCCACTAGAAGACCTCTGAAAGTGTTCAGGTGTTCCTGAGGTCGTCAAAAAAAAAGGTTCCTTCAACCCAAACTTAAGCCCTGGAGACTCTAATCAGTTTTAGTAATACTAACGGACCTCTCAAAGTCTTGAGAAGCTCATGAGGTCGTCAAAAACTTCACTAGGTTCCTTCAGCATAAACAGAAGTCCTGGAGACTCAATATTAGTTCAAGTATCACTAAAAGACCTCTCAAAGTCTTCAGGAGCCCCTGGAGCCGTCCAAGTCTTCACTAGGTTTCTTCAGGATAAACTGAAGCCGGAGATCTCAGCTACATTCTGAGCTCGTCAAGGGGCAACTGGATCGACCAGAAGAACGAGCCGAAGGAACCCAAGATCATCTCCAGCACGATATAAGCTACATTCTGAGCTCGTCACGGCGCAACTGCATGAACTATGCGGAGAAGAACGAGGAGAAGGACCGTAAGACCATGTTTTCAACTTGATCAACTACAAGTTTGGACGTCTAGTTCGCCGAAGGCGGTTGTTCGTTATAGCTTCAAAACTTCTTGTTCACCGTCTAGTCGACAAAATGAAGGATTTGATGTCTTTCTGAAGTTAGACACTACTGCATTACCGTGGTCAGACCATGTTTCTTCTATTCCAACACATCTTCCCTGGCCTACTTTTCGTTATCAATTTCTCATAATTGCGTGAATCTACCTCTCAGAACTTAATGAGATCTGTTCTTGCGCACGTCTAAGCAGAACCCCCCCCCCCCATTTCCATAATGATTACCTCGTTTCTTGACCGGGAACAGCTTCGGATCGCAGAGGATGGCCATTTGAGCCGCCGCTCCTAGCCTCACCAACAGCATGTCCAGCGACAAGCCTTCGTCGTGCAAGTAGTCGTTTCCAACAACCAGAGTGCCGATCAATTTGTGGATTTTCCTGTGATACCACTTATTGATTAATCGATTGGTGACGTCACTCACTGTGGAACGTCTTTTTCTCGTATCAAGAACTTGTGGATGAGCCAGGAAATGTTCTTGGGGATCTGGTAGTCCTGGCCTCGTGGGTCGGTCATCTCCTGGAAAAGTTTCAAGAGTTCTAGGATTTTTTTAAATTTTATTCAAACTGGAAAATGTGAAGATTTTGTGAAAGTATGAAGATGTCAAAAAAAAAGTCTATATTTGGGGGAAGAACACGCAAAATAGTCGTAAGAGATCACTAGAGGGATGAAAAGTTACACTCGAGTTGCCACTTGAAGAAGGCCAAAAAAATCCGTTTTTTTTTTCCAGGGGGGGAGACGCGAAAAAGTCGTAAGGGATCACTAACGGGATGAAAAGTTACCCTCGTGATACCACTTGGAGAAGGCCAAAAAAATCCGTTTTTTTTTTCCAGGGGGGGAGACGCGAAAAAGTCGTAAGGGATCACTAACGGGATGAAAAGTTACCCTCGTGATACCACTTGGAGAAGGCCAAAAAAATCCGTTTTATTTCCGGGGACACGCGAAATAGTCTCAGGTTTTGACAAGCTCCGCCTACTTTGAAGATTACTGTAGCTAAAAATAAAAAAACGAAAAGTTCAAATAGAAGCTGAAAAATTAAAAAAATAATAACAACTATAATTCGCTCGAAATTATTCATCTGAAAATCAGAAAAAATGTTCTCATCGATTATTTAACCGAAAATTCTCAACTTTTCAAAAATAGCTACAGCCTAATCACCTCCTCGGCAACGTCGATCAACGTTTTGATCAATGTTATCACGATGTAGTTGATCACACAGTGCTGGGCGTCGGAGTCGAAGCATTCCGTCCGGCTGAAGGCTTTCCAGAAGGCTCGTAACGCTTCAGGGGTCTCTTAAAGTGATTACTTGAGTGGTCTTTTCAGGAAAGTTCGGTTTTATACGACTATGTAGAAAGTCTAGAACGCTTCAGGGATCACTAGCCAACTTTCCTCTCTAGAAGGACCCTTTTTAGGAAGGCTAATTTTACCAGATCCTACTCCAGCTCCAAAAAAAGTTCAAATAACCTAAAATGTATCTTTTCAGAATTGCTTGGACCCTTGAGTGATCACTCCAAAGGCAACACTCTAAAAGTTATCTTTTCATTCCATAATTCTCAACTTTAGTTTTACGGAAAGTAACCACAAAAACTTACGATTTTCCTATAAAGAATCGTATCTTCAAAGTGTATTTCTTAAGTGGCCATTATTCCAGACCCTGAAGGGATCACTTAGTTGAAAAAACAAGATGACCATTCAGAAACTTTAGAAGGTAACCAGTAAGACTTCAAAGACCACTAGAAGCAGCACTTCAATGTTTTTTCCTTAAAAGGCCACTAGAACGCTAAATTTCACAAAAAGCTTCACCAATTTCCTACGTTTATATATTTTAAAATCAGTTCAAGTTGCCTAAAATTGACCTATTCAGAATCGTTTGAACCCTTGAGTGATCACTTCAGTGTCCAAGTTAACCTTTTTATTCCATAACTCCTAACTTGAGTTCTATGGAAAGTCACCACAAAAACTTACGATTTTCCTATAAAGAATCGTATCTTCAAAGGGCGCGCCGTAGCGCAACAGGTTGTGTGCCTGTCTACGGTCCACAGGGTCACAAGTTCGATCACCGCCCCGACCCAACCAAGGGGTTTAGGAAATGTTGGTAGTGGGAAACCACGGCTTCATAATCCCCAGCCGTCACACACAAGGACGGATATGTCACTCGAGCCAGTCCACTGATTATCATCAGGATAGGACCTCGGCTAATCGACTTGGGGCGCCGACGCCGCTCAAGCGGTACAAAGGCGTAGGAAGAAGAAGAATCGTATCTTCAAAGTGTATTTCTTAAGTGGCCATTATTCGAGACCCTGAAGAGATCACTTAGTTAAAAAACCCTTAAGAGGACAATTCAGAAACTTCAGAAGGTGACCGGTAAGACTTCAAAGACCACTAGAAGCAGTCCCTCAATTAAAAAGACCACTATAGTCTGCGTATCACAACTTGGAACTTCCCCGAACGACATTCCGCTGTTCCGCTGCCTGCTCGGCCGCGTTTTTAATTTATTCTTTTATTTAATAACTCGACCAAAACGCGTTCTTAGTGGAACAGTTTATCTATCAGAAATGAGAACCAATTCAAAGCGAGACCGAGGCTCGCAAAGACGCTTCGCGACGCAGCGGAAGAGCGGAATGTCGTTCGGTGAAATTCCAAGTCTTGGCACACAGACTATAAAAGGCTACCATAAAAGACCGCTACCCTTAAAAGACCACTAGAACCTTAAATTTCTCAAAAAGCTCCATCAATTCCTCCAACTTCCATTTGAAAATCAGTTATCTAAAATTAATCTTTTCAAGAGCATTTGGACCCTTGAGTGATCCTTTGAATGTCTAAATTAACCTGCCATTATTCCTTACTTCAACGCTACGAAGAGTTCTTGTACTCACATTATTCAAATTCTTCTTTAAGTGGTCATTATTCGAGACCCTGAAGTGATAACTTGTTTGGAAAACCCTCAAGGCCACGCTCAAGTCAAAGCAAACTTTAAGACAACTTTCACTAGTTCCAGCTCTGGAACTCGGTTCCTCAAGTGGCCACTCCATTCGAGGCTAGAGCAACCCCTTCACTACTGTCCATCTCAGCTTTGGAGCTCGACTCCTCAATTGGCCACTTCATTCGACTCTAAGTCAACCCCTTCACTACTGTCCGTTCTTTACATATTCATATAAAAAAGCCACCCAGATGTTCTCGCACGTGTTCATTCATTTGTAAAGTGACACACTTTTCAATGCATAGGGTTATACTTGGAGAGCTGCAAAGCAAAGTTCTTTGGGATCAACTACAACATATAGTGCGATGATGCCTTAGAATAGAGGAACCTTTCAAAATAAGGGGGAGCAAAGAACTTACGATCTTAAAAATTAGTGAAGTACTCGCAGGTTCAAGCCCTCTCAGCTGAGAGCAGATAGCTAGACCAGCTCAGCAGGTGAAACTTTTGAAACTTCCAAAGTTCAGATTCCTCCCAGAAGCTTCATTTTGCCATCTTTGCTTGTCTCATACATTTCTTGACTTCTACTAGCTTTGGGCTCGATTTTGCTGCCCTAGCTCAATCGGTAAAGCTCTCCAATGGCCCCAAGACGGTCCCAGGTTCAACTCCTCTCCAAAATCTTCATTTTGCCATTTTTGCTTGTCTCATACATTTCTTGACTTCTACTAGCTTTGGGCTCGATTTTGCTGCCCTAGCTCAATCGGTAAAGCTCTCCAATGCCCCCCAGACGGTCCCAGGTTCAACTCCTCTCCAAAATCTTCATTTTGCCATTTTTGCTTGTCTCATACATTTCTTGACTTCTACTAGCTTTGGGCTCGATTTTGCTGCCCTAGCTCAATCGGTAAAGCTCTCCAATGCCCCCAAGACGGTCCCAGGTTCAACTCCTCTCCAAAATCTTCATTTTGCCATTTTTGCTTGTCTCATACATTTCTTGACTTCTACTAGCTTTGGGCTCGATTTTGCTGCCCTAGCTCAATCGGTAAAGCTCTCCAATGTCACCAAGACGGTTCAAAGTTCAAATCACTTCCAAAACCTTCATTTTGCCATTTTTGCTTGTCTCAAACTTTTCATGACTTCTATACTAGCTTCAGATTCATTTCTGCTACTCTAGCTCAACTGGTAAAGCTCCCCCATGTCACCAAGACGGTCCCAGGTTCAACTCCTCTCCAGAAACTTCATTTTTGCCATTTTTTCTCCTGATCTATACTCTTCGACTGACAATTCATGACTTCTATTCAACATTTAGGCTTAATTAATCTACCCTAGCTTAACCGGCGAGGCTCTCCAATGCCACCTAGACGGTCCCAGGTTCAACTCCTCTCCAGAAACTTCATTTTTGCCATTTTTTCTCCTGATCTATACTCTTCGACTGACAATTCATGACTTCTATTCAACATTTAGGCTTAATTAATCTACCCTAGCTCAACCGGCGAGGCTCTCCAATGCCACCTAGACGGTCCCAGGTTCAACTCCTCTCCGAAAACTTCGATTTTTTGCCGACCTTTCTCGTCGAGCACCTCGCCGCGTTCGAAACAAGCCGTGAACCATTTCGGCCAGTAGGTCATCACCTTCTTCACGTTGTGGTGATGTTCTCGGTACTGAAATCAACAGGAAAATTTTAAATATACCCCGTAAAAATACCTCAAATTCCGATAAAACGGTCGCCATGCGGATGACCGGGATTAGGAGGTCACTGGGGCTGAATTTTTGGCAAAACGACAGGATTATTCTGAAAATCAACATGTTCCTGACAAAAAAATCGTTTCAAATTCAAAACATGACGTGAAATTCTAGAAATGAAGTCATAGCGAAAAATTATTTTCCACCCTGTTGCCCTATGTTTCAAGTCTGATTCAAAATCGGAACATGATATGAATTCCTAGTTTGTAGAAACCTCCTCATCCAAAAATTTAAAAAAATGAATGTTTCCTAAAAAAACTTGTTTTTGAAAAAAAAATTCCTGAAAATTCCTACAATGACCCATTATTTTTGGTTGGCAATCTCAAAAAGGTGATTTTTATAATACTCTCAACTTTTCGCATTTTTTTCCCAATTTTTTTTCAGCTTTTGATACAAAAAAGGTACAAAACTAAGGCGAACATTGAAATCTTCTCCGGATAAGAAATCAGATCCTCCTCATTTGTCGAGTCCATGGAGGCCGTCGACGAATTTCCATCCTCTTTTTCGGGTTTCGGGACGAGAATTTCGTTAAAATTGTACGCGGAGAGCATCACTTCCGACACGTGGAACAGGGTCTGACAAGGAAAAAAAGCATAAAGATCGAATTAAAAAAAATTATAAGCTTCTAAGCTTCCTGTACTTTTTAAAAAGATATACCTCAAAGTAAAAAAATATGGAAAAAAAGTAATAAATATGGAAAAAAACAGGCTTCAAGTACAGGAAAAAAACAAGCAAATAGACTTCAAAAAAACCCTTCAGAAAACCAAATTTTCGGTAAAAAAATGCTTTCTAAAGCTTGAATTTCTATAGCTGAATGAAGAAAAAAATTTTTCCAAGTTATAAATATGATAAAAAAACAGGCTTGAAGTACAGAAAAAAACAAGCAAATAGACTTCAAAAAACCTTCGTAGAACCAAAAAAATTAAGTAAAAATCATAAGCTTTTTGAGCTTCCTGAATCTTGAATTTATATAACTAGATGTGAAAAAAAAGTTTTTCAAGTAATAAATAAGAAAAAAAATTAGGCTTAGAAGACACAAAAAAACGATGGTTGAGACTTCAAAAAATCTTCGAAAAATCAAATTTTCAGAGAAATTATGAGCTTCTGAGCTCCCTGTACTTTGAAAAAGATATACCTCAAAAAGAAAAAACGCAGAAAAAAATAAGAAATTATAGAAAAAAACAGGCTTCAAGAACAGAAAAAAACAAGCAAATAGACTTCAAAAAAACTTTTCAGAAAACCAAATTTTTCGGTAAAAAAACATGCTTTCTGAAGCTTGAATTTATATAACTAGATGTGAAAAAAAGTTTTTTTAAAGTAATAAATAAGAAAAAAAATTAGGCTTAGAAGAAAAACGATGGTTGAGACTTCAAAAAAATCTTCGAAAAAAATCAATTTATAAGCTTCGGAGCTTCCTGTAGTTTGACATAATATGCCTCAAAAGAAACGTAGAAAAAAAGGTAAGAAAATATAAAAAAAACAGGCTTGAAGTACAGAAACACAAGAAAATAGACTTCAAAAACCCTTCAGAAACCAAATTTTCGGTAAAAAATAAGAGCTTTGGAGCTTCCTGAAGCTTGAATTTATATAACTGGATGAGAAAAAAGTTTTCCAAGTTATAAATAAAAAAACATAAAGCTTAGAAGACACAAAAAAGATGGTTGAGACTTCAAAAAATCTTCGAAAAATCAAATTTTCAGAGAAATTATGAGCTTCTGAGCTCCCTGTACTTTCAAAAGATAAACTTCAAAGAGAAAAAATAGAAAAAAATAATAAATATGGAAAAAACAGGCTTCAAGCACAGAAAAACAAGCAAGTATACTTCAAAAACCCTTCAGAAAACAAATTTTTAGTAAAAAAATAAAGCTTCTAAGCTTCCTGTAGTTTGAAATCATACACCTCAAAAAAAAGTGATAATTATGAAAAAAGTTGGCTTGAAGCCCAAAAATACAATGAGAGGTTTTCGAAACAAATCCAAATTTTGTTCATAAAATCCTTTTTTCATTTGTTTTCTCTAAAAAACGTTTTCCCCAAGGTTTTAAAGAGTCTAATCCGTCTGCGCCCTCTTTTCTCTCACCTTCATTTCATAGAAAATTATGAAACTAGGTAAAAGAGGGCGCAGAGAAGTCAAGTTTCCTCGAGTTTAGACAAAAAAGTTATAGGAAATTTTCAAATATTCCAATTTAAAGCATTGAAGAGGAGCTTGGAATGGAACTAAAGTGAAAAATTGGTCATATTAGGCTAAAATGAAGTCTTTTTCTTTGAAGTCCCTGTCAGAGCCAGAATAGTCTAAAACGGGAGTTGATGCGAAAAATAAGCCGCTAAAAGACTCAGTTATGAAAAAATTGTCTTTTACAGGGAGAAAAACTGCGAATTTTGTATATACATTTTTAGTCCATTTTTCATCTCTTCTAAAATTTTAAAGACTCGAGAGAGGGTGGGAAGGGAGAGAAAGTAAAAAGAGCCGTTATGAGTTGGAAAAAGGGCGCAAAAAGGGTTCCAAAAGGAAGCTTTTCCTTTTTTGAACATATGGTCCATTTTGAATTTCTTTTTCGCCTTCCCCAGATTTTCGAATGCTGAAGAGAGGGTGGGAAAGGCAGAGATAGTAATAGGAGGAAAAGGGCGCAAAAGGGTCCATAAATCAGCCTTTTCTCAGCTTTTCAGCAACAGTTTCAGGGCTTTACCCATTTATTTTTAAAAATAAGAAGGCCATTTTTCCTTCCAGAAACCTTCGAAGAGTAAAGCTTCTGTGCTTCTTTTCACATAAAAAGGGCATTTTTCGTATCTAGTTTGAACTCCAACTTTGGTCAAGGAGATGAAAAAGTCGGTGATGTCGATGCAGACGTCGTCGTCGCCGCCGAACTGCGTCCGGGCGATTCCCGTCATTTTGTTGTACCAATCCAGGTCGGCGCACATATTCTCGACGAACGGCTCCTTTTTCGCGCAGTATTGCTTCGCTTCAGCCTGGAAAACCATGCAAAAATCAGCAAATTTTGTTCCAAAAAAAGAAAAATTGTTTTTTGAGCAAATTTTTCAAGAAGATAGCTTTCTCCCGAATACTGCCCGGATCCGACCCGGTTGCAAAATGACGTCATAATTCAACACTCAGGCTATTCAACTTCCAAAACCGCGATTTGGAACAGTTCTTCGTGACTGTTTTATGAGCCCAAAAATGGGAATTTTCTCCCTAATACTGCCCGACTTTGTCCCGGGTGCAAAGTGACGTCATAATTTCGGACCAAATGAGAGAGTTCTCCTCCCGAATATTGCCCGGTATTGTCCCGGTTTCGAAGTGACGTCATAATTCCGATTGAACGTCAAAAATAACAATGTGGAACATTTCTTCGTGAACTTCTACGATCTAAATGAGGGAATTTTTCTCCCAGACACTGCCCGGCTCTGTCTCGGTTTCAAAGTGACGTCATAAAAATGAAAAAATGACGTCAGAAATACCAACTCCTTTTCTAATCCAATTTTCAACTGAAACCCCTTCGATACCCTACCTGACACTTGAAAATGAGGGCCGGAAGAAGTTGTCGGATTTCGAAGGCGACGAAAAGCAGTTTATCTGGCACAAGCAGTTCTTTTCCCAGTATCCTTGACGCAATCACGCTTTTAACTATTTCCAGCTTCTGAAATGAATATTCTGAATCTCCTACTCTTTGAAGGTCAGAAAAAGCAGTGCATAAGAAAAAAAAAGTCTTGAAGAAGCGATTTTTAGGCTCAGGCTTGCGGGTCAGGCTGGGCGGTCCGAGCTTGGGCCTTTTTGCAAAAAATCCTGTTTTATCCGTAGAGCGATCTTTCACTGGCTTGATTTTCCTGCGGCTATCTCATACAAGCTACTTTTTCATGTACTTAAAATTGAGACTTAATTTCAGAACACCTAAAGCTTTCCCATCATTATCAATAGAGCGCACTTTCCTCTAAACTAACGCCATTTTCCTAAAGTCTAAAAATGGATTGAAAAAGTAAATCGGTCTTGAAATTCTGAGCTAAAAATTCGAGGCAAATGCGCCCCAAGGAAATCGGGACAGAAAACCTGGGTTTTTTTCTGGTTTACATAAAATCTCTTTTAGATCACCTCAAGTTTTTTTTATCATTATCAATAGAGCGCTCATTCCTCTAAACTAACGCGATTTTCACTCAAGTCAAAAAATGCTTCGAAAAGAAGCCAAAAATTTGAGGTAAATGCGCCCCAAGGAACTCGGAACGGTAAAATGTTTTATTGATCAGAAACCTGGCCTTTTTTTCCTGGGTTCCATAAACTCTTTTTCAGATCACCTCAAGCTTTTCAATAATTATCAATAGAGCGCACATTCCTCTAACTTCGCGCCTTTTTTACCTCGTAAAACTCCTCCAAATGGCTCAAGCAATCGCTGCTGTTCGAGGTGATGTAGGAGTTGGATGTGAAGTCGCGCAGGACAAATTTCAGCAAATTTACGGACCGCGTGAACTTCTGAACGGGTGTCGAATCCTGAAATCGACTTTTTTTTTTACAGTATTGCTCAGGATAGCTGAGAAAACCTTATCCGCTTTCTTGTTGCGTTTGGGCACTGGCGATAGCTTATTGAAGGTCAAATCGTCTGGCGAGATGGCCAAATCTGAGAGGAAAATACTTGGAAGTTCAGATTTTTTTTTAGCTCATAGAAATATTTTCAACTTTTAGATCAATATTCCCGTTGAAAAATAACTTTGAGAATTCCAGAGTGGTCCCTATAGAGGTTAGGGAGAGAAAAAACCCTTTTAGGAGCCGAAAAAGTGGTCCCTATAGGGGTAAAATTAAGGTATTCCCTATAGGGGTTAGGAGGGAAAAAGACCCTTATAGGAGCCGAAAAAGTGGTCCCTGTAGGGGTAAAATCAAGTTGGTCCCTATAGGGATTTAGAGTCTGACCCTTTAGCCCCTAAAGCTCAAGTGGGCCCTACAGGGATCCCTCAATTTCATTCAAAAACTTATTTATTCAGTTTTTTTTCCCATGAAAATGCTTCTTGGCTTAGAGTTCAGGATGTCCCACATAAGGACCACTTTTGCAAGATTTAGTGGCCCCTCTAGGGGTTGGTAAAGTGGTCCCTAGAGGGGATCCTTCAAGAGCCCCCTTAGGTTACCCCTATAGGGACCTCTCTAGAAAGTGATCACCTACACGACAGCTTTTAACCGAATTTCGGTTTGAAAAGCCCAAAAATCGCTTTTTTCTCCCTCTTTCCCACCTTTCTTGATTTTCTTGAAAAGAAGCCCAATGTCGAAGTTGGCGACGACTTCTGCATAAATGGAGACGTGATCAGCGGTGAGGTCAGGCTCGTCCAGGATCTCCAGACATTCCATGGCCAGATCTTGGAGGTGCTTTCTGGGGAACCAACTGACGAGCATGGTCAAAGTTCCAACCAGAGAAGAGTTCTGGAAATCAGAAAAAAGTATTAACCAAACAAAATGAGCACATTAAGACATTCTATAGCGAGCTTCACAAAAACGTATTTTTTGTATAAAAAAAAATATTAGTACACGCTTTACGACAAGAACCGACCGCTTGGGAGCTTGGCCCATTATTCAATTTACACGTTAGTAATTATTTGAGTTAGCTATTGAATATTCAAGATCTGAACCGTCTATAGTAGTTTTGACTCTGGTTATCTTTGCCAGCAGACCTTGTACTCCTCCAACAAGTTGTTCACCAACTTGCTCTGCATCGAGATCAGACTCGCCGTCGCCACCTTGATCTTCGGGTCCGTCACCTCCGACAAGTCCTTCAAAGTGAAAAAAATGAATATTTTTTTCAAATTTCATCCAGTTTTACTTCAACGAACCACGTCTTGCCGTGTCCAAAATGCGAAACTCAAAATAGCGGTCAGGGGCGAGAAAAGATAGGTAGATTTTGGAGGGTCAGAGATGGTTTTGAACACGGCATAACCTTCCTAGTTCGTATAAAAACCCTTGGTAAAATGTCAGAAAATTCGAAATTTCAAAAAAATATTACGAAACACCTTAGTGTAACTAAAGTTCAGTCAGGAATGACCCGAAAAAAACGGTTTTTTGATCAAAAATTGTTTATATGTAGTTTGATCTTTCTGAAAGCCGGGTTGCGGTAGGTGCTTGGTCTCCGAAGTTTTTACATGAAATGGTATCAAACTGTAGCTAACACATCTTTGAGAGAAGTAACTTTCCCGGCCAATGGCCCAAAGACAAAAAGTACCGTATTTCAAAAAATTTCTACAGTAACCTAATATAGTATGTACTGAAAAAACTTCAAAAATTGCATTACCTATCGATTGATATACAACTTGCCCATAAAAAATTGATCAATACTTAGATACGCAGGTGATACCGTAACCCGGCTACAGGAAGAGGGAATGGCTTGGACAGTTGGGTCCGCATTTCTAATGATGGATTATCACACTGGGCGAATCAAAATAAAAAAAATGAAATTTTTTTTTTGTGAACACTGATTTTGAAATCCCCCTAACGCTTTACCTTCCGAATGGAATGGCTCAAAACGGCGGCACAGTCCAGAAAAAGCTTGGCCGAAATCAATTTCGGATCCTCATCGGCTGAAAAATCATTTCAAACCTAGAATTTTTCCAATTTTCTGAATACTCAAAAGTTCGCCGGTTTTCCCATTTTTCCGTATGATCCGGTAGGCGAATTTGGTCATCCGGGATATGTAGCCGACTGGAAAAATGTTCATTTTTCCACAATTTCTGAAGCTTTAAGACCCGCAGTTTCCATGTTCAGAAGTTTCAGGTCGTAGACGAGCCGAAAATAATTCAAGGCGGCCATTCGGCTGACGTTGGCCAGAGTTTGGACGTACTTGTAGACGACCACGTCGAATGTCTCTTTTTCCGGGTCACATGTCTGGAAATTGCATGGAATATCAAGAAAAACGGTTCAAAATCATTTTGAGACACTGACAAGGCTTCAAATGACAAGGAAAAAGTTCAGAAAGTCAAGGTTTTCACAGAAAAATCTTGAAAATATTGCCAAAAGGTCGAAAAATCGAATTCTTACTCGGGATGGTGGAAAAGGGCCGCTAAATATGAGAGGCTCAAAAAGGCTGCATAAAGGCAGTGAAAAGGCAACAAAAAGGCATCAAAAAGGCAACAAAAAGGCTGCATAAAGGCAGTAAAAAGGCTGCATAAAGGCAACAAAAAGGCTGCATAAAGGCAGTGAAAAGGCAACAAAAAGGCATCAAAAAGGCAACAAAAAAGCTGCATAAAGGCAGTAAAAAGGCATCAAAAAGGCATCAAAAAGGCAACAAAAAGGCTGCATAAAGGCAGTAAAAAAAGGCTGCATAAAAGGCAACAAAAAAAGGCTGCATAAAAGGCAGTGAAAAGGCAACAAAAAAAGGCATCAAAAAGGCAACAAAAAGGCTGCATAAAGGCAGTAAAAAGGCTGCATAAAGGCAACAAAAAGGCTGCATAAAGGCAGTGAAAAGGCAACAAAAAGGCATCAAAAAGGCAACAAAAAAGCTGCATAAAGGCAGTAAAAAGGCATCAAAAAGGCATCAAAAAGGCAACAAAAAGGCTGCATAAAGGCAGTAAAAAGGCTGCATAAAGGCAACAAAAAGGCTGCATAAAGGCAGTGAAAAGGCAACAAAAAGGCATCAAAAAGGCAACAAAAAGGCTGCATAAAGGCAGTAAAAAGGCTGCATAAAGGCAACAAAAAAAGGCTGCATAAAGGCAGTGAAAAGGCAACAAAAAGGCATCAAAAAGGCAACAAAAAAGCTGCATAAAGGCAGTAAAAAGGCATCAAAAAGGCATCAAAAAGGCAACAAAAAAAGGCTGCATAAAGGCAGTAAAAAGGCTGCATAAAAGGCAACAAAAAAAGGCTGCATAAAAGGCAGTGAAAAAGGCAACAAAAAAAGGCATCAAAAAGGCAACAAAAAGGCTGCATAAAAGGCAGTAAAAAAAGGCTGCATAAAAGGCAACAAAAAAAGGCTGCATAAAAGGCAGTGAAAAAGGCAACAAAAAGGCATCAAAAAGGCAACAAAAAAAGCTGCATAAAAGGCAGTAAAAAGGCATCAAAAAAAGGCATCAAAAAGGCAACAAAAAGGCTGCATAAAAGGCAGTAAAAAGGCTGCATAAAGGCAACAAAAAAAGGCTGCATAAAAGGCAGTGAAAAAGGCAACAAAAAAAGGCATCAAAAAAAGGCAACAAAAAGGCTGCATAAAAGGCAGTAAAAAGGCTGCATAAAGGCAACAAAAAAAGGCTGCATAAAGGCAGTGAAAAGGCAACAAAAAGGCATCAAAAAGGCAACAAAAAAGCTGCATAAAGGCAGTAAAAAGGCATCAAAAAGGCATCAAAAAGGCAACAAAAAGGCTGCATAAAGGCAGTAAAAAGGCTGCATAAAGGCAACAAAAAGGCATCAAAAAAGCAACAAAAAGGCTGCATAAAGGCAACAAAAAGGCTGCATAAAGGCCGCAGGAATGCAGCAAAAAGGGTCCCTTTACCAAGCCTTCCATTTTTCCTGGAATTTTAAAGGCCTAGGAAATGGTTGAAAAAGGGAAAGGCAGCAAAAATGGTGCATCAAAGCCGATAAAATGGCGCAAAAGTCAGCAAAAAAGGAACACTTCTATTGAGCCTTTTTCCACCTTCTCTGACTTAAAAAAAACCAGAAATATGGAAAAAGGTCCAAAAATCTTCTCAAGCTACTTAGAAAGCCTAAAAATTCGAAAACCAGTCAAAAAAGGATCTGAAATCGAGACGACAGAGAAACTTCAAAAAAAAAAAGATCGCTTTTCAATTTTAAACTTCTGGAAAAATCGATATTCCAACAGGACCAACATATGAAATTTTTGAAGCTTCTTACAAGGCCAAATAAATTGAGAATTGTTCAAAAAATGGTTTGACGAAACTAGAAATTTTGAAAAAATCATCAATTTCTAGCTGTAAACTTCCGAAAAACGCCATTCAGAGCTTTAAAAAAAAAAATTCTCGGAGAGCCTTTAAAAATAACCAAAAAATCATCTAAACCCCGATTTCAAGAGGAAAGCAAACTTATACTGAAACTCCTCCCTTCCCCCTTTATGGGGGGATATGGCTTACCCTTCAAAAAAATTATAATTTCAGTTTTTAAAAAAATTTTTTTCGCTCGGCTGTGGGGTAGATACAGCACAAGATATCTCAAATCCTTTTTTTTTCATGTGTCAGAAAATTCCTCACAATATAAAGGGCCCTGACAAGCTCCTTGGCCACTTCGTCGTCCTGTTCGATGGCCAGCCGAGCCATCATTTCGGGTTTCGTCACGACGTCCGTCAGCTGAACATTTTTACTTTAGTAACACGAAATATTCAGCATTTCTAGTGACCCCTTCAGCGGCATCAGTACTCTTAAGTGATCCCTAGATGAGCTCTGAAAAGTTCGGAGCTCCAGAGTGGCCCATATAGGGGTAAAAAAGGCTCTTGAAAGATTACCCCTAGGGACCATTTTTCAACTCTTATAGGGGTCACTAAAGCTTGCAAAAGTGGTCCCTATAGGGGACATGCTAGCCGATAATTTTAAACGAAATTGAGAGACCCCTATAGGGCCCACTTGAGCTTTAAGGGCTAAGGCGTCAGAGCCAAATCTCCAATTTAGACTACTTTAATTTTACCCCTAGAGGGATCACTTTTTCGGTCACTATAGTCCCTGTTTTCCCCCCTAACCCCTGTAGGGACCACTCTGGAGATTCTAAGTGTAGAGGTTTCAATTAGGGTTCCCTATAGGGATCAATCAATTCAATTATTGGTTGAAATTGCTTTATAACCTTTTTTGAATGAAGTTGAGAGATCCCTATAGGGTCCACTTGAGCTTTAAGGGCAAAGGGGTCAGACTCTTAACCCCTATAGGGACCACTTTTTCGGCCCCTAAAGGGTTGGTTCTATTTTTCCTACTTTTTTTCGACAATTACCTTGATAAATCGATGTTTCCGAATGATTGCAAGAAGGGCGGCGGCGGCCTTGCGAACTTTCGCATTGGAATCGTTGATCCCCCGGGGACAGATCACTTTAAGGGCCACTTCCAGGGCGTTGGCGCATCCCGGGACGACTATCAGGAACTGCATGCCCTGAAGGACTCCTTTTTTGGTCTTTTATAAGCTCAAAAATGTCCTAACTTCCAAGAAACCGTATAAAAAGACCTTTAAGTACAACTAGAGGATGATAAAGTCCTTGAAAAATTAAATCAGGATCTACATGTCCAAAAAAACTGCGTTTTCCAACCTTTCTGTGAAAATTTTCAGTAGCCACTATAGAGATTTGACGCCTTAGTGGCCACTATAGTAGTCAAACTAGTGGCCACTTAAGCGGTTAAAAATTAGTGGCCACTATAGAGGTCTAAGTTCTGCTACTAGACCACTAAAAAATTTAGTGGCCACTTTAGGGGTCAATGGATCAACATAACTGGTCCAATCTGTTTGCTTTCAAATTATCAGAGTTACTGGAAGGAATACTGGATGAAAAACTACTGAAGTGGCCACTAAAACGGAAAATAGTGACCACTATAGAGGTGGGTTTAGTGGCCACTTTAGTGTACAAGTAGTCCTTGGCAATCCTCTATAGTGGCCCCTAAAAATTTTCTCAGTTTAGAGCTCAAAAATATTCCTAACGTCCTAGAAACCGAATAAATTACTTTAAAGTACAACTAGGGCATTATAAAACCTTTTAAAAAATAAATCAAGAACTAAATGACCTAAAAAACTCATTTTCATATTTTTAGAGCTCAAAAAACGTCCCAAATTTCTAAAAGCATGAACTTAAAAAACAACTAGAGTATTATAAATTATTCCTAACTTCCTAGAAACCATATAAATTGACTTAAACGTGCAACTAGGGCATTAGAAAGTCCTTAAAAAATAAATCAAAAATTAAATGCCCTAAAAACTTCCTTTTTTGGTCTTTTTTGAGCTTAAAAATGTTCCTAACCTCCTAGAAACCGAATAAAATTACTTTAAAGTACGACTAAAGGATCCTTTAAAAAAAAATAAATCAAGAGCTACATGCCCTAAAAAACTTGTTTTTAATATTTTTAGGCTTAAAAATGTTCCTAACGTTCTTAAATAGTATAAAAAAACGACCTCGCATCACAACTAAGTCAATAAAAAAATTCTTTTTAAAAAAATAATTTTACTAAATTTTTCAACTTTAAAAACTCGAGAAAACCTCATTCTGATTAAGATTAATAGAAAAAAATCCCTCAAAAATCCCGTCAAAAAAATTTCCAAACCTCATAAATCGCCAACCGAACCGGGATGCAACGATCCTTCACGAGATCATCAACGATCTGAGATTAAAAAAATATTTGATTTTTTTTTTTAAAACCGTCGTCAAAAATGTCCTTGGTGACGTTGGGCGGGAAGAGGTTCCAGAAATCGGCGAGGAGTTTCAAGGTCTAAATAAGAACTGATTCAGAATTCAAAAAGTAGAAAGTTTAGAAAAAAATCCGCTTTTCATAGAAAAATTTTTCAGCCTAAAAAAACAAAAAAATGATACGAAAAAAACGAAAATTCACACATTCCCGTATAAATTAAAGCTCAAACTTCCACCAAAAAAATCGAAATTACAAGGTCTAAAGAATTAATTGATCTAGAACTCGAAAAAAAGGGTTTTTGCCCTTCGACATTTGAAAAAAATCTACTTTTTCATAGCAAAATTTCAGTCTAAAAAAACACAAAAAAATGATACGAAAAAAAGGAAAAATTCATTCATTTCCGTATAAATTAAAGCTCAAACTTCCACCAAAAAAATCAGAAAAAAAGATTCATGGCCTGGAAAAACGTGAACTTAATTTTTGAACTGATTCAGAACTCGAAAAAAAGGTTTTTTTCACTACAAAATTTGAAAAAAATTCCCTTTTTCATGCAAAAATCGCAACCTAAAATTCGATTTACACAAATATGATTTAAAAACGAAAAATTGACATATTCCGGTATAAATTAAAGCTCAAACTTCCACAAAAAAATCGAAATTCCAAGGTCTAAAAAAAGTCTTGACTTAGTTTTTGAACTGATTCAGCGTTTGAAAAAAATGAAAAAAGGTGAGTAAAATTTAAATTCTCTAGTTAAAAAAATCGGAAAAAAATCATAACTCTTAGAAACGAATCGAAAGTAAACGCAATTTTTCATGGCGAAATTCAGCCAAAACCCTCATTTTTTTCACGTTTTCAACACAAAAAAATTCCTTTTCAAGTTCGAAAAAAACCGAATTATACAGAAAATATGACAAATTTTCATGTATTTCTATTTATAATTGAAGCTAAAACTTCAACTTTTTCACTGAAAATCGCCGATTTCAAGGCTTAAAAACTTGAAAAAAATCGGGCTTCAAAAAGTAAAAAAATATCACCGAAATCATATTTCTAATGTATATTTCAATGAAGAATGTTTTTTTCCATAGCAAAATTTCAGCGAAAAACCCCAAATTTTTTTCCCATTTTTTTACATCAAAACTCGGTTCAAGTTCAAAGAAACCCCAATATCCTTCATTTATTCATAAAATTAAACCTCAATCTTTAACTTTTTCGCAAAAAAATGAACAATTTCAAGGCCTAAAACTTGAAAAAAATCGGGCTTCTCGAGTAAAAAAATATTACCAAAATCATATTTCTAATAAACAATTCATTAATGAATGTCTTTTCCATAGCGAAAATTTCGCCAAACCCCCAAATTTTTCTCAATTTATCATCAAAAACCCGTTTCAAGTTGGAAAGAACCCAAAATTTCATGCATTTCCATATAAAGTTATAGCTAAAACTTCAAATTTTTCATAAAAATTTCTTTTTTCCTGTACATTTTCCTCATAATATGAACAAAATCCCTAAAACTTTTCAAATTTTCACCTGTCTAACGGCTTCAGCTCTCAGAATATAGCAATCATCGAGGAGCATCTTTTTGACGTATTCAAACTGTTTGCTCAGCGAATATTGGCGTTCCTGGAATATATATTTGATTATTCCTCAAAATACTGATTTGAAAGGAATAATGACAAAAATCACCTCCTCATCCTGATGAATCAAGGGAAAAACGAGGAAAAACAGCCGCTCGGCGTTCAAACGAACAACGTTGTTGGGCACCTCAAAATGATATTTTCACTTTGAAAATTAATTTTATCAGATACTGTATTTTTTCCAATCGTTTCAGGACCCTTTAAATGAGTTTTGAACTTTCTGAAGTACATGAAATTTCAAAAATGTTAAAAATTGAGTTTTCAAGCTAGTTTCTCCCATTCAAAGTTGATATTCAAAAAAATCAACCTGAACTTTATAATTTTTTTTAAACACGTGTTAAAATATTAAAATATACTATAGCTCCTTCCCAGCTTCTAACAATTTTCGTTCCCTACAGAACCCTTCATTTTCTCTGTGCATGCGCCTTTAATATGACGAGAACTATGGGGCTGAATTAAAGGCGCAGGCGCGTATTTTTGTACTCCTTAGCTTAATAACCCTCTTCTCCATAATTCCTTTAATACATCGCAAGATTTAAGCTAAATTAAAGGCGCATGTCTGGAAACAGGCCACGCCCATCGAACGGAAGGGTTCTGTAGCTCAAAGGGAAACCAAAATGTGAGCTGCTTTTCATTTGCATGCGCCTTTAATATGACGAGAATCGTTGGCCTAATTAAAGGCGCATGCACCAAAATAAGCCTCGGGAACTTCCTCCGAGCTTCAGAACCCTTCCTTTCGATGCGCGAAGTCTTCCTTTGTACATGCGCATTTAATAAGAAAGAAAATTCAGACCAAATTAAAGGCGCATGCCCATAAAAAAGCCGTGCGTCTCAAATGGAAAGGTTCTGTAGCTCGGAGGGAAACGAAAATGTGCGCGGCTCTTCATGTGCATGCGCCGTTAATAAAACAAGAATTGTTGGTCCAATTAAAGGCGCATGCACCAAAATAAGCTTTGGAAACTACCTCCGAGCTTCAGAACCTTTCCCTTTAACACTCGCGGTCTTTCTCTGTACATGCGCCTTTAATAAGAAAAAGGTTTTGGGCTAAATTAAAGGCGCATGGTTAGAAAAAGTACGTGCGCATCGAAGAGAAGAATTTTCTAGCTCGGAGCAAAACGAAAGGCGCATACATGGCTAGCTTAAGATTGTAAGGGAGTCTGCACTCTCCTCTGAGCAGGTACTGTCTCTTTTTTCAAATCGTGTCAGGACCCATTTTTCGATGGCTCAAGCAAGAAACAACTATACACAAGTTTTGAACCTTCTGAAGAGCTAAAAATTCATGAAAATAAATCTACCTCTCTTGTACCTGATGTTCTACGAGCGAAATTCACAACTTCTCTGCCTAAGCCACAGCTCCTGCCGCCGTTTAAAACACAGTCAAATCAATGAAAGTCGATTGCACATGTACTCTTACATTGAAGATGCAATAAACAGTAAACAAACAACAAATCTACTGAAGGGCTCAAAGTACACAAAATTCCGATTTACTTCTTCGATTTCTCTACAACATTTCAATACAAATAAACTTTTTCTGATGATTAAAATGGAAAAATTACAATTTTCCCCACTAACCGACATATTATTGTCCAAAATGAACATGACTTGGGCCCCAAAAGTCATGTCGAGTTCGGGTTTCGAAGCCTTTTCGTTGGAAAACGCGACAAGCATCTGGAAATTGTCATGTTTTCAGAAAATGCTTTAAAAATTACATCATAATATCGTTTGCAGAAGGGTTCCGGACATCTGACGGCTTCATCGGCGACTTCTGAAAATTTTAAATTCACTTAGAAACTGTGGAGAAAGCGCCGGGTGTCCTCCGCGCCTTTGGGACGATTCTGAGCCCTTTAGTGACCACTTAAGATATATTTTGAACAGCCAGGATCGCCACCATTGCACTACGAAATTGAACAAAGAAAACATCAATTTTTCAAAAAAATCTTAAAATTCTCCCACCTGACATGAAATAATTCTCAACGTCTTTTTTTATCTCGTCAAGATTTTCTTTCTCCGCATTTTTTTCCATACGGTTAACGCAAGTTGCCCGTAATTCCGACAGTGGGCTCTGAAAAAAATTATTCTACAAGTTTAAAAAAATAAGTATCCAAATTACTCCGTGGCCTTGTTCAAAATCGCCCGGCGAATTAAATTCAAAGTTTGTCGGACGCCGATTTGGGGCACGAATCGGGCCACCAACTTTATTCCTGAATTAATATCATCAATTTTTTGTTTTTTCTTCATGAAAAAACCTTCAGGACAACTGATGAAGGCGGGATCGTACAGGGCTTTCTGCATATCACGCTTATGAAACAGACCAACGTGCTCGACGACATCATAACCGGCCCACAATTGCCGAACCAAAGATTTCTTCAAAAATAAACTTTCCTTCCTTTACAAACGCTCCAACTAACATGTCCCTTCTTTCCAACCATTTGAAATGTTTTTTGAAACAACTCGAGCATGTCATCGTCGCTTAAATTAGACTTTGGCCTCGTCTCCTTCAGAATTAGATTCTTTATTGGATTTGTGGGGACGGGATCGTCGGAATCGCTCGAGTCCACGTTGGTGATGTCGCTTAGCGGCATATCTATCTTGAAATGTACAATTTATGAACATAAATTTTGAAAAGGACGAAAAAGAGGAAAAAAAGAAAAAAAAACGCGGGTCAGTAAATCGACGGAATTCAAATCGGAAATATTACCGCCATTCTCAGCGGCGCGCACTTTCCTGAGCATTTATTTTTTCCGACACAAATCTTGATGCTTTGTTTTGAAACCTTTTGCATGAAACTCTTGATTTTATCAGTTCTGTGTTCCAATTAATTGCATTCTCAAATACCTCTCCATCACTACATTTATTCAATAACAAAAAACGTAGAAATTTAGGTGAGTAATTAAAATTCTATTAGTTAATTTGACAAGAAGGATACATATATATTTCGTTGTGGGGTACACGTGGATTCACATGAAAAAAGGGTACACTGAAGGAAAACCGAGCGAAAAGATAGTACAGAAAAGGCATTAGCTATCATAAAAGGTACAAAAGTATTAGCTATCAATAAATCAATCAATAATAGAATTTTGAAAAAATCTCTGAGCACAATTTGAAAAAGTTCTAAACAACTGCTACATGAAAAAAACTTGAAAAAGGAAAAAAAAATCTTCAAGAGATCGTCCTATCATTTTTTTTTGAATGTATAGAAGGATCGATGAAGAAAACTGTACAAATGGCAAGGGGAACGAGAGTTCAGATTCGTGGCCGAACGGCTAAACTCCTTGACGATGGGTCAAAGGGTTGCCGGTTCGAGCCGGGGTACACAAAAAACACGAACAATGGAAAAAAAAGGGCAAGAAAGCAAGAAAAAAGTCAATTTTTAAAAATCAAAACCACAAAAAAAAAACAAAAAATGGGCAAATCACAGAAAAGAACAAGAAAAAAAGGTAGGTGTGGCAAATTTTTCAATTGATCGTTAGAAAATGGAAGATTTTCAAAATGCTTTTTCGGAATAAATCCCTGTCAAAGAAAAATGAAGAAGGAACTGCAAACTGACAATTTTGACAAGAAAAAATTCAAAAAAATTCAAAAATTGACCAAAAATGAGCCTGCGTCAAATTTCTTAACTAGGAGTTCAGGCTATAACCAAAAGAAGACAAAAAAAAAATTCAAATCGAAAATCCAATCAAGCGAGACAATTTTAAGACAAAAATGTATCAAAAACTGAACGGAAAACTTGATTTTTCTCATTAAAAGTACAAACGACAAAATCAAAAGGCAATGTATCAACTAGAAAACTACCAAAAATGATTAAGAATTGGGAAAAGCCGGGTTGAAGTTGGGATTAGCACTATAAGTCGGTTGCCAGGAGGATTGCTGGGGCTGGGATTGCCAGTACGGCTCGAAGTCGGGATGATATTGACAGCCGGAATTCCAGGCGTCGTACGAATTTTGGTAGTTCCGTTTGGCTGGCGGGCTCGTTGGGCTGAGGGGAGCCTGAATTTCGATATTTTCATCAAATTTTGTGGAAACCCCTCGTTTTAAAATTCAAAAAGGGATTTTTTTTAAAGGCATAGGGGCAGTAAAAAATGGGGTTTCAGGTGAAAGCAGTATCTTATATAGTTTTTCTTTGCGAAACGAATGGTGTAATCAAAGAAATTAAAGATGTGACAACTTTAGAAGAAAAACGCGATTTTACTTTCCCGCTTTAATTTTTGAAAAAAGCTTTGGATCGGTGCTCAGACAACTGATTACAGTAGCCGTACACGCGATGTTGCGTACGTCTCATTAGATTCGCATTTTGTGAGAAATAACCGGATATCTGCTTCAAATTAAAGGTTTCTTCTCTGAAAAAAACATTTAATCAAACAAAAAACACACATTGATAATAAAGAAAACACAAAATATCGCTATCCCAGTCGAAACCTGTGTAAATTCATCATTTTTCACCAAAGAAGCATTTTTGCGATCAAAGTTTGCAAGTTATACATGAATAGAAAGTTTTTGTGACGAAAAAGAACTTTGGTGTTAACAGAAAAAAATTGAAATTTGAAAGAAACGAAGAAAAAAAGCGAAAAATCCGGAAGATGGCGAAGCCTGTTGTCCATAGAGCAACTTTACTGCAAAGCGCCCTTTTCGCGGGAACTCAAGATTTCCTTTCTCCGACTTTGAATTATTTTTTCTCCGAAATTAAGAATTTCGGTACGTTTTCAAGTTTACCGTTCGATTCGCAATGAAAAGCTCTACAAAGTACTGCTTTGAACTGAAACACCGTTTTTTACTGCCCCTATGCCTTTAAACTTCTAAATGAGTCTAGGGTTTCTAGATGTAGTTTTTCACGCTGATTCCAAATTTGCCTTTATAAACGGCCTAGGAGGTCTGTGAAAAAAGCTATGGACCATTAAAAATCGAAAATTCCATGTCTCCGAGCTCATTCTTAAAAAACGCATAGACCCTGTCCCACTGAAAAAAACTCACATATTCTACAAAAAAAAAATTCGACTTTGATTTAACCATAACTTTTTTTTCTACAGACATGTGTCCGTTTTTAATACCAGATATAAGGTCAGCTTGAAACATTGCCTCTAGTGAACTAAATCTCCTTCAGAAGTTGACTAGAGGTCACTTCTTGGATGGGCGTCTATTTTTGAGTACTTTGCAAGCCGAGTTCCAAATCTGTCAGAGGGCTCTACTTACTCTTTAGAGAAACCAAAACGCAATTCTTCGAAAAATGGATATTTCAAGTAGTTTATGTAGAACAACTGTAGTAGAACTCGAAAAATAACGCAAATTAATGCCTTCAAAATTGGCCGAATTGAAATTTTGATACAAAATATTATTCAATGAATTTAAAAGTTTCGGAATGGAAGTTGAAAGTCAAATTTTTGAATAAAGGAGAAAAATCCTGCATAAGAAACATTTTTTTGACACTCCAAAAAAACTTGAAAAAAATGAAAAATTTTTCCATTTTCGGTCTTAAAAAGTGATATAAATTTTTTTCCGCCTTGCAAACTTCTCGATGAAAGTTATATTTTTTTGAATTTTTTTAATTTTTTTCCCTTTTATCAAAATGATTAACCTTAACAGCCACGGCAGCGGGGACCATCGAGGGCGTAACCGGGCGCCAGTCTTTGATTCCCAGCTCGAGGAAGAAGTCGTTTGGCAGGTCGCCACCGAGCTGCTCCATCTCCGAGCAATCGACGAACGGCGCCAATCCCGACAAGTCCGGCTCTTCCCATTGGAGGTCGTCTGGTTGAGCAACTCGTTACATTTTGCATTTTGATGGGGGGCAAGGTACCACAAATGATGGGCTGGTTGAAGTTTTGAGTCATTTGGAGCTGTTGCGGAGGTTGAGGATGGGCAGGAGGCAGAGTGGGGAACAGATCGGCGACTGGCCTTTCTCCGACTCGAACGTCAACGGACGACATAGCGAGAGTATCTGAAATCCCGGAAATTTTTCCCAATTTTTGAAAATTCAAGAAATCACAGTGTAAGATACAATACCGTCAGAAAAGATATAGTTTTTTTCAGATTTGAAACTTCAAGTCATCCCTCAAGCTCCGCCTCCGCCCCTGCGCAATGAACCAATCTGCAGAGCGTTCTCGAATGACGTCATTTTTCTTGACATTCCAAATCTGGACAGGCCATACTACAGTCTGTCCCATATGAGCATGACTAGCGGAAGCCGAGACCAATTTTTTTCCGTTTTTTTCATCACTGAGAAGATCCGAGTCATAGAATTCAAAAAAATTACATTATTTTTTTAGATAATTGAATGAAATTTCAGAAAATTTGAGAACTTTCAATTAAATTCGGTTTCTTTAATGGTACAAGAGATACCAACAGATATCATAGAAGATTCTGAGTTAGAGATTTTTCGTCTATAAAGCAAAACCTTGGAAAAAACCCACTAACTCGAATTTCATTGAAAAAGAAAAAAGGGACTGAAAAAATCCCGTCAAAAATTATGTCCAAATGTTTCCATTTTTTAACTTAACCATTTTTCAAGCATTCAAGTTGAAAATTTGATAAAAACTCGAGGCTCCAAGATAAAAAAAATGAGATGAAACTTCAATAGAAATAACAAAACCCGAGTTTTGAATCGAATAATATGACTAAAACGAAGAAATATCGACTTTTTTCAGTTCTGATAAGGCCTTTGGAGGTCCTGCTGATAAAATTGGACTTTTGTGGCAAAAGATTTTCAAGGAAAGCCAGGCAGGAGTAAAAATAACAAGGTTCTGGAAAAATATTGACGAGCCAAGGCCTATAAATACTCCAGCCAGGGGGGCGTCTACGTGACAATTTTCACGTTCTTTTCTCGTAAACACATTAATTTTCACGCCTTTTTTCGGTTCATTTCTTGGATTTTTGGGGGTTTTTCTGTCTGTCTTTCGATGGGAAGTGTAATAACCTGATGTCTGAATGGCGGAAAGGCGTCGTGGTCGATCGGCGGCGCCGCCACAGCCCAGAGGTCCAGGGTTTCCGCCTCGGCGTGGCCCAGGTTCGACACCTGCGCATATTAGACAGTTTTTCAGGTATATTGGCTTTTTTGTGACTTCTAAAGTTAAAAAAAAATTCCTAGAAAGGAAAATCTAAATATATGGAAAACTTTAGAGCTTCCTAAGACCAGTATGTCTCATATAGAAGCCACTTTTGCAGGCTTTAAGCTTTATAAAGTAGCTAAAGTGGCCCCTAGAGGGGAACCTTCAAGGCCCTCAAAGTTGCCCCTATAAGGACCACTTTGGAGTTTTTGAGACTAACATGGACGGGGGCCATTTTTGCAAGGTACAAGCTCTATAAGGGGTGCTAAAGTGGTCCCAAGAGGGCATGATTCAAAGGCCCTTAAGTAACCCCTATAGGACCCCTTGGAGTTCCTAACACTCTCATGTGTGGGGCCACGTTTTGCATTTTTCAAGCTTTATAAGAGGTGCTAAAGTAGTCCCTAGAGGGGGACCTTCAAGAGCCCTAAGGTTTACCGTATAGGGACCACTTTAGGGTTTTTCGGAATTCCTAAGAATAGCATGACTCATATAGGTGCCACTTTTGCAAGCTTCAAGTTCTATAAGAGGTACAAAAGTGGTCCCTAGAGGGGAGCGTTCAAGAGCCCTTAAGTAACCCCTATAGGGACCACTTTGGAGTTCCTAATACTAGGATATGTGGGGGCCACCTTTGCAAGCTTCAAGCTCTGAAGGAACAGCTAAAGTGGCCACTTGAATTTTTATAAAGAGTGCTAAATTGGTCCCAAGAGGGCATGATTCAAGGGCCCTAAGGTCGCCACTATAGGGACCACTTTGAAGCTTCCATGACCCTAAGCTTAACCCTATAGAGACTACTTGGAGTCCCTAAAACTAGCATATTTTATATAGGGGTCACTTTTGCATGGTTCAAACTCTATAGAGGAAGCTGAAGTGGTCCCTAGAGGTCAACTTTCAAGGGCTCCTTAGAATGGTAGCTTCTGAGAAAGCTCAAAAAGCCAATCCTCACCAGCGGGACCTCCAATGGCACATTGTGATACTCCTTCAGCCAGCGGGGAATAGGATTGGTCTCCGGTTTGGCCGGCGGCTTGACCGTAGAACGGACGGCGGTCTTGTTGGTCCACCAGGAACTGCGCGGAGGCCAGAGAGGGATCGTCAGGCGGCGCGGCTCCTCCGAACCGACTCTGTACTTCTGGAGCCGGGCCGCTTGGGTCTGGACGAAAGAGCCAGTGAAGAGCGTCATCGATGCTTTCCGCACCGGATCCTGAAAATCAAGACGGGTTTATTCTTCAAATTCTTGATTTTCGGGGGGAAGCAGGCATTATCCAAACCGATCCGAACTAGAAGATCTTCTCACTAGTTTTTTGAAAAATCATAGAAATTTGAGAAGAGCTTATATAACCTATTTTTTCAAAAAGGTGCCAGAATCCACCTGAAACAGCGTTAAAATCAAAGTTTCCTCTCAAATTATTAGTTAGATTTGAAAAAAATTGGAAGTCTGGAAATTTTTTTCCTCCACCTTTTCAGCGTCATCTAGTACGATGAATCCCAAAAAACAAGAGAAAATATCATTTTTCTAAGCTTCTCAAGTGACCTCATCTTCAGAAAGCTTCTTAATTTTCTCAAACTCTAACCAAATTGAGGAAAGCCTGAAAAATCTGAGAATGGAAATCAAGCAACTACAAAAATGCCAAACCAATCTAAAACTCATCAGATTTTTTCTCAAGGTGATTTTATATCGAACCGTAGGACGAATCGCTCAGAAAACCACAAATAACTGTCTTAACAATCTAGAAATTTATTAAAAAGCTTCTCAAGCTTTTTCGGACCGACTCGCCTAGCAAAGCGCTTAAAAACTCGCAAATAACTGCCCTAAAACTCTTAAAATTCCTCTCAAAGCTTCACAAAGAGCCTTTGGATCGTCCCTTCCAAATCACGGCTTAAAAGCTGACAAATAACTGCCTTAGAACTCTAAAAATAATCCCAAAGCTTCTCAAATAGTCGTAGATCGCCTCTTCTAGATGAACGCTCAGAAAATCATAAATATCGGCCCTAGAACCCTTAAAATTCATCTCGAAGGTCTCAAAGAGCCTTGGACCGTCCCTTATAGATGAAAGCTTAAAAAATTCACAAATAACTGCCCCAGAACTCTAAAAAGTCATCCCAAAGCTTCCCAAGAGACTCAGATCGTTTCCTACTAAATGAGAGCTTAGAAATTTACAAACAACGCCCCTAGAGCTCTAAAAATCATCCCAAAACTTCTCAAAGAGCCTCAGATCGTTCCTTTTGAGTGAAAGCTTAGAAACTCGCAAATAAGTGCCCTAAAACTCTTAAAATTCATCTCAAAGCTCCTCAAAGAGTCTCAGATCGTTCCTTCTGGATTTGAGCTAAGAAACTACCGAATAACTGCCCTAAAACTCTTAAAATTCATCTCAAAGCTCCTCAAAGAGTCTCAGATCGTTCCTTCTGGATTTGAGCTAAGAAACTACCGAATAACTGCCCTAAAACTTTGAAAATTCATCCCAAAGCTTCTCAAAGAGTCTCAGATCGTTCCTTCTGGATTTGAGCTAAGAAACTACCGAATAACTGCCCTAAAACTTTGAAAATTCATCCCAAAGCTTCTCAAAGAGTCTCAGATCTTGCCTTCTAGATTAACCCTTGGAAAATCACAAATAACTGCCCTAACATTTAAAATTCATCAGACATGTTCTCAAGCTGATCTTGGATCTATTCGCTTGGTGAAAGGCTTAGAAACTCAAAAATTACTCCCGAATCTTTTCAAAGATCATTTCTTGTAGACGGAAACTCAAAAAATCCCACACCCTAGTTGATCCCGAAATCACGTCTAACCACCATAACCAAGACAAAAATTCCAAGCAACACTAGGTGATTAGGAAGTTAAGAAGCCGAGGAAGGACTGCACAAGGCGACGGACAAGAAGGCGGCGTTCGGAAAAACCTCATCGTCGTAGAAATCTTGGATTCGGCGACGCTTGCGGGCAAAACGGGCCAGCCGTTTTCTGCGTCTGGCCCTCATCCGACGGCATCTGGCCCGGGATTCGTCGAACTGACGTTTGCGCTCTTCGAGCTTCTCGTCGTATTCTGGGGTCACCGCGAAGATTCCTAGAGTGGTCAGGAGAACTAGATATGTTAGAATGGTTAGTAAGTCTAGAGTTCGGATCGGTTTGGAGAAGTTGCGCCAAGGTTTTAAGGAGGCACTCTAGTGACAATTGAAGCTCAGTGATCCCTCTAAGGATAACAAGTTGTCTCTTAAGTGAATCAAAATTGATTTTTCGAGTGAGATGCCTGAGACAACCGAGTTAGAAATTCAAATATTAGTATGAACAGATAATGAAAATTATTAACACATTCAGGCCTTCGGAACTCTATAAGGGCAACCTTGGGGACCCTCTGCCAACCCCTATAGGGGCCACTAAAGCTTGCGAAAGTGGTTCCTATAAGGGAAATGCTAATCGGTAATTTTTATGTACTTTCCATGCGAAAATAAATAAATGAGCGTTTTTAAATGAAGTTGAAAGACCCCTGTAGGGACCACTTGAGCTTTAGGGGCTATGGCGTCAGATCCTAAACCCCTAGAAGGACCACTTTTTCGGCACCTAAAGTGGCTGCTTTTCACAATAACCCCTATAGGGACCACTCTGAAATTCCTGAGAACAAAGTCACAAGCTTCAAACTCATGAAAAACCCGAAAAAATCACCATTCTCACTGGACGAGGACGATTCATCGGACGAAACTCCGAGGCAAGGGTTCAAAGTCTCGGCGTCGAAAACGTCGTCGATTCCAACCAGGGGCGTAAAATCGACGCATTCGACAATTTCCGGCTGTCGGCCGACGTACTCTGCAAGAGGAGAAAAATGGCAAAAGAATATTTTCTCAAAAGGGACTCGATCCGGCGTCCCTCCGGACGACAAACAAGACGTTTAGCCACTATACCTAGGGAATCGTCGAGCTCCGTCTTCACGTTGACGCGTACCACCGTACCGTTGCTCAGCATCTTCTCCGACTCTTTTTGGATTCTAAAAAGAGGGAATCAATATCGATTGATTATTGATCGAAACCCCAGGACGTAGTGGACGCAGATGACGTATTGTCCTTTTTGTCCCTTGGTCGTATGGGATACGGTAGTGGCTTCGGTTTGGATCCAAGCCGTCGATTTGTTGGCGGCGGTCAGTCGATAATATGGGGTCCGGACGTGGGTCTTGGCGAAGAGCTCTTTCATCGACTGAAAAAGTCGATGGCTCGTTGAAATTTGGTATTTTGGGCTCTGTACTCTGAACTATTCAGAGCTTACTAGGGAACTTTTTACCCCCATTTTGAACTTTTTTGATGAAACTTCGGTGAAGTGCACTTTAGGTCCTACTGATTCGAGAACAAGAAAAAAAATCCTCGCAATAAATCCTGTCTTCCATTTATGAATCTTAAAAGTCCGCAGAATGCATAAATTATAGCAAAAAAGCGCTATTTCAAGCTTTTGAGACTCAAAAACGGTCCCTAGTCACTACGGACCTCTCGGACTCTGGGACGAGTATCGATTTGAAATTTTGATGGCTTGTGAACCCAGGTAAGATCACTTGGAATCCTTTTTTCAACTTTCAAAGTTGGAGACTAGAGATAAATCAGGAAGCGTTGGACGTTAAGTTTTCCCTATACCAACCTTTTCAGAATTTTCAGATCTACAGTATGACGATATTCTAATCGGTAGGTTCCTTGATCCGAGTCCAAGAGGCCAATGGTTTGATTTTTATCAAGGAAGACTACTTTTAACGTTTATTTCTATCCATTTTCCGTTGTGAGGTTTTCCCTTTCCCTATACCAAATTTTTTCAAAATCCTCAGCCTTAAAATAAAAGGATAGCCTAGACGCTAATTTACTTGACCTGAATCCAAGAGACCAATAGTTCGATTTTTATCAAGAAAGACTACTTTATAAGTATTTTTAATGTTTATTTCTATCCATTTTCCGTTGTTAGGCTTTCTCTTTCCCTATACCAACCTTTTCAGAATCCTCAGCCTTAAAAGGGAAGGATAGCCTAGTCGGTAAGTTCCTTGACCTGAATCCAAAAGGCCAATGGTTCGATTTTGATCATAAAAGGCTATTTTTTCCCCTATCCTACACCAATCGATTCAGAATCTCCACCTCTACACTTTGAAACCCACCGGCGCTAAAATGGCGATGTCATCTGGATGGACAAGCTGATAGAAGCTCGTTCCAATCAGGCTTTTCCCGTCGACCTTCAGAACGTAGCTGAGCCGGTCCGACACGTAGGAAATCATCATATCGCAAGTGTGACGGGTCATGAAAGTGCCAGAAGATTGCTCCGAGTACTGAAATTGAGAATTTTTTCATTTTTTTTCAAAGTTTCATCCTAAAATTCTATACCAATCGAATCAGAATCTCAAGCTCTACCCAATAAAAATGCCCAAAACCCCGGAAAACCTTGGTCAAGGCCGAGGCGTTCGAATTGATGGTCCCTTGACCGGCTGGAATCGTCGCGCCCTGCATCAGGAGTACATGGCCGCCGGTTGATCGTTTCGCGTGGACCATGAAGGAAATTGGCTGGAAAATACTTTTTTTTGAACCAAGGATAGAAAAATCCAAGAGCTAATTTGAAGCTTTTGGTACTGGTAAAAATATGTAAAACTCGACTTTAAGCCTAACAAATCATTAAAAACTCGTGTTTAAGCCCAAAAAATCATTAAAAACTCGTGTTTAAGCCAAAAAAATCATTAAAAACTCGACTTTAGGCCCAAATCAGAGCTTTTAAGAAAACCATGAAGCCCCAGAAGGTCCGCGAAAAACTTCAATGGCCCCTTAAGAGGTCCCTTAAGGTCTGAGGACACTAAAGTGGTCACTCATCTCTATAGAAGGAACTATTCGACGTCTCAGTGTCCATTACAGTAGTTTTTAGCGGTCTAGTAGTACCACTAGGCAATTGAATTTCAGCCCCTTAAGTGGTCACTAAAAGGTCAAAAACCCTAAAGTAGCCCCTCAAAACTTTCCAAGGTCTCAATTTGTAGCGCAAAATTCGATTTTTTTGAGATTTCACTTAAGTGACCACCCACCTTTATATTTCGCGTCAGGGGGCCACTAAAGTAGTTTTTGGGGTCTAGTAGTACTACTTGGACTTCTAAGTAAATTTCAGTCCCTTAAGTGGTCAATAATTCGACTTTATATCGACCACTAAAAGGTCGAAACCCTAAAGTGGTCCCTCAAAAATTTCCAAGATCTCAATTTGGAGCGAAAAATGCGATTTTTTGGGATTACAAGGGTAAATCGAGTCTATGGGAAAAATGTTTCCTCATATTTTCATTTTGGAAGTTACCTAATCTTAGGTAAATTACCCTAATTAAGACGTTAATTACCTTAAAAAGAGCACTTTTCAGGTTCAAAAAAACCACTAATTCGACTTTATATCGGCCACTAAAAGATCAAAACCCTAAAGTGGCCCCTCGAAGTTTTTCAAGATTAAAATCCGATTTTTTGAGATTACAACTAGAAAACTTGAGTAAATCGAGTCTACCGGAAAAATTTTTTCCTCATTTTTTCTTTTTTACAGTTACCTACTCTAAGGTAAATTACCCTAATTAAGACCTTAATTACCTTAAAAAGAGCACTTTTGAGGTTCAAACAGCGGCCACGGGGGCTGATCACCGTTTTCATCCGGAAAACGACATTTACGCCCACGAGACAGTCGAGATGCCTCGGTGTGTTGAGTTTGGCTGGAAACGAACATTTATTCCAGCCTATCCATGGAATGATTTACCGGACAGTTTCAAAAAATGATCATAATCGGTCGGATGGAAGAATTCGCGGAGGGATCGGCCGGTTAGATCGGTCTGAAAGAAAGGAATTATTTATTGTCAAAACTCGGAAAATCTTGATTTCAGAGTCCAAAAGTGGCCCCTATAGGGGACATGCTAGTCTACAATTGTTAATTCCAAGCGAAAAAAATCAATAAATTAGTGTTATTTGAATGAAAAATGTCAATGAACTTAGGAATCCTAGAGTGGTCCCTATAGTGGTTAAGGTAGAAAACAGCTCCTATAGGGGGCCGAAAAAGTGGTCCCTATAGGGGTAAAGTCAAGGTAGTCCCTATAGGGCTTTGGGTGAAAAACAGCCCTATCTGGGCCGAGAAAGTGGTCCCTATAGGGGTTTAGGGTCTGGCCCCTTAGCCCCTAGAGCTCAAGTGGACCCTCTAGGGGCCTTTCAATTTCATTTAAAAACGTTTTGTTCAGTTTTCCCATGGAAATACTTCTTCGCTTAGAGTTCATAAAAATTATCGACTAGCATGTCCCCTATAGGGATAACTTTTGCGAGTTTTGGTGAGCTCTATAGGGCTTGGAAAAGTAGTCTCTAGAGGGGACCCTCTAATGGCCCCTATAGGGACCCCTTTTGCGAGCTTTAGTGACCCCTATAGGGGTTGGTAAAGAGGTCCCTATAGAGGACCCTCCAAGAGCCTCTAAAGTAGCCTCTATAAGGACCACTTGGGCTCTAGAAGCTCAGGGGTCAGCTCCTAAGCCTAAGTCTTTAAAAAATATAGTTTTCTAGAAGATAAATCTTGAATTTTCCATGGAAATTATTCTCTTATTCTTTAAGAGAAATTTTTCATTTTACTCTTCACAAAAAAATGTACTCGCCTTCAAGTTCATGTGTTTCCTATCACTCAGAGTACACATTTCCCAACGAATCCATGTTTTTCTTCGATTCAAAGCCCTTTTCCCCATGTTTTCCCTGTCCCAAGGCCCTCCAAAATGCCTTGTTTTGTAGGGAAATCAACCAAAAAGGTCGTTTATGTCACTCTGTCGTTGAAATGAGATACGGGGCTGCGAGGCGACTCGATTTGACGCTAATCTATCGATTTTATTTAATTCGTCGAGTTCATTTTGGGTTCGAGAGGCTGGCGGGGAGCGATAGGAGAAAAAGGCGCGTGATAACACAAGGAAAATGAAAGGAAAGTCGAGAAAAATCGCCATTTTGGCCGGGAAAAAGCGAAAAGTTCAATAAGATGTGACTCACTCTTTAATTTAAAGAACATGAATTTTTAAAAATCCCTGATAAATTCTTTCAAGGCTTCAAAGTCGATCTAGAAAGGAAGACTATTTAGAAACTCCAGAAGTGGTCCCTGTAGGGGCAGCCTTAGGGACTACTTTACGAAACCCCTATATGGGCCACTCAAGCTTGCAAAAATGGTCCTTATAGGGGAGAAATGCTAGTCGATATTTAATTTTTAAGATTTTTAAAATTCTCTAAAAGATTCTTTTAAGGTTACTTAAGCGATCTAGAAAGGAAGACTATTTAGAAACTCCAGTGTGGTCCCTATAGGGGTAACCTTATTTAAACTTGAAGGGTCCCTCTCGAGACCACTTTACCAACCCTATAGAGGCCACTAAAGCTTGCAAAAGTGGTCCCTGTAGGGTTTTTAGTTAGTGGCCCCTATAGGGGACATGCTAATTGATTATTTTCATGTACTCGAAGAAGCGTTTCCATGCGAAAAATTAAATAAAAAGCGTTTTTTAAACAAAGTTGAAAGACCCCTATAGGGACCACTCTGCACCTCCTAAGAACCATGAAGTCAAGCTCAAAAATGCGTAAATCTCAGTGAAATCCCCAATTTTACCCGGAAAAAGCGAAAATTTCAACAAAAATGATTCACTTCCTAATTTCAAAAAAATCTTTAAAAATTTCTTGGACTTTTAAAAATTCCATAACTGAAAAAAATGCGTAAATCTCAGCGAACCACCCCTGCTCCCCCCGTTTTTTTCGCTCGGAAATTCACCTGAGTCAATCCCAAGTAGATGTTGACCGATTCCGTAATGTACAGAATGGATCCGTCGCTGTCGGCGATCAAAATGAAGCCGTCGAGACATTCGCTGACCATGTCTTCGTCCCAAGTCTCCACGAATTCTTTCCCAAGTGAGGTCTTCAGGACTGTAAAAATCAAGCCTTTTTTTTTGTACATGAACCATTTTTTTTTAGAAGCAAGGAATATTTGTCGCCACATTGCACCTTTATCATAATCAAGTTGAAATTTAGAAATTTTTTGCAGAAGAAACTTGAAAAAAAAATTTTGAAGACCCTGATTTCAAATAAGTAGAAATATTCTAGTATCTACTAACTGTCTCTGTTATTTCGAACTGAAAAACCGACATTCCAAACACGAAAATTACCGTTACTCGAAAATTCCTACAGTAACCCAAGAGGGTATGTACTGTAAAAGTTCCTGAAATTAGATCACCTATCGATTGATATACAACTTGCCCATAAAAAACTGATCAATTCTTAGATACACCGGCCTACCGTAATCCAGCTACAGCAAGAGGGAATGGCTCAAAAAGTTCGCAAAAAAAAAAATTTCTGATGATGGGTTATCAAAAAATATTTATTTTTAGCTTCCACGCTTGCCAGCAACCTTCCAGCAACCTGCCAAAAAGCTGCTGGAGGGTTTCCGGAAAAAATCGATTTTTAACCTTTCAAGGACCTTCTGAACACCTTCCGAAGGCCTTTTAAGACCTTCCAGCTTCCATTCACCTTCCCAGGATTTTCTTGAGTGGAAAGGTCAAGGAAAAAGGACCTTTTGAGAACTTTTTTCCAAAACCTATTTTTTTAGGCTCCCCTGCCATTGCAGAAAATTGAGTTTTTTGACGTCAAATGTACAAAAAAAAAAGAAGCAAAAGTCACTTTTTTCCGATTTTTCAGAACCAAAATGTTCATAAATATCTCTCAGCAAAGTTCCATCGAATTCATCTTTTTTCCGTTCTTCTTGCACTCCCCTTTTAAAAAAACGCGCTCTCGTGTTAATAGGATTCCGATTCTGCGAAACTCCTAGGGAAGATTCAAATAAGCCTCATTTTTTTTCCGACTTCCGAGACATTCTTTCGTATAGTTCCGCAGCAATTGCATTAGGTCGAATAAAACAAATACGCGTATTTTGGCGTTTTTATTAAGACATTTCAAGCTTTAACACCAATTTTTTAGCTAAAAAAGCGCTATAAAACTCAAAATTTCTAAATTTCCAGAATGTGAGCTCAAAATTTGATTTTTCGGCGTAAAAATAGATAACGGCTACTTATCAAACTTTCATGGTAGGGATAAGCGCTATATTTAAAATTCCCAAAAAAAATACATCGGCCCAAGCTGGCCCAACTTCCCTGCGGAAAATAAAAGTCCTTTTCAAGTCCTAGCTTGGGAAATATGAATGGAAAAATTCAAGTCTAATCCGTAACTTGAAATTATTTTTCAAAAACTTTCTTAGGTATTCCAGAGTGGTCCCTATAGGGGTTAGGTGGAAAATAAGCGCCTTAGGGGCCGAAAAAGGGGTCCCTATAGGGGTAAAACGAAGGTGGTCCCTATAGGGGTTTAGGGTCTGATTCCTTAGCCCCTAAAGCATAAGTGAACCCTATAGGAGCCGAAAAAGGGGTCCCTATAGGGGTTTAGGGTCGAATTCTTCAGCCCTTAAGGCTCATGTGGGCCCTATAGGGGCCTGAAAAGTGAACCCTATAGGGGTAAAACTAAGGTGGTCTCTATAGGGGTTTAGGCTCTGACACCGTAGCCCCTGTAGGGGCCACTGTTGCAAGCTGTAGTGGCCCCTATAGGGGTTGCTGAAGTGGTCCCTAGAGATGACCGTCCGAAGGCCCCTATAGGGACCATCATAGTGCTCCCAAGATCCTCAGAATTTCTGTGGTTCCTCATCACAAAGTCTTGAGCCCCAACCATTGCTGGCGGTCTTGTGGAGACGGCAAAAGGTGGCGCCGACTCGGAGCAAGGCAATCCGGTCCAAATGAGCCGCCGGCCCGTCGGAGACAATCGGGACGACATCTTTCAGGTCGTTGAAGATTTCCGTCTCCTTGCCGCGACGATCCCGGGCCGCATATCTCGAAGTTTCCCTCCGACGTTCGATATTTCTGAACGAAATTGAATTGTAAACCTTTGATTCAAAAAAAAAGATCACTTAAAAACTCCAGAGTGGTCCCTATAGGGGCAATCTTAGGGGCTCTTGAAGGGTCTACTCTAGGGATTATTTTACCAACCTCTATAGGGACCACTTAAGCTAGAGGGGTTATGGGGTCAGATCCTAAACCCCTATAAGGACCACCTTGATTTCACCCTTATAGGGTCCCCTTTTAGGCCCTTGTAAGGCTCACTTGAACCTTGATGGCTAAAGAATTTGACCCAAAACCCCTATAGGAACCCCTTTTTCGACTCCTATAGGGACCACTTGAGTCTTAGGGGCTGAGGCTAAAGTCGTTTGAACTGGTCATTTAAGGAAAATTATAAGTGGCCACTTAAAAAACAGCTTTTCGAAGTAATTTGAAGTCACTCTAGGGAATCGAACTGATTTTGAAGAGAGCCAAGTGACCACTTGAGTGATTTTCTGAGAAAGAAGCTTCAAGAAGCCACTCTAGGGGTTTAGCTACTTTTTAAAAAATCTATGGTAAGTTTGAAGAGAGAAAAGTGGTCCCTTGAGGGATTTCCTGAGAAAGAAGTTTCAAGAAGTCACTCTAGGGGCTGACCTACTTTTTACAAAGTCTATGGTAAGTTTAAAGAGAGCAAAGTGGCCACTTGAGTGATTTCCTGAGAGAGAAGCTTTAAGAAGTCGCTCTAGGGGTTGACCAGACCCGCATTTTCATCAATCTTTTTTTCGGGTTTTTTCTAAGAGGCCACTTAAGGTTTTTTGCTGCTACCAAAAATTTTCCAGGAAGTCAGAAAGACCAGATCGCGTGAAAAAAATTGACCTTTTCCTATTATCTTCCATTGGCTGTGTTTTTCCCCGCTCGGTTCGAGGAACCGGCGGAATCCCGTGAAAGTTCTTGCAAAACCGGTTCTGAAAAATAAATATTTATCAAAAATGTTGACTTGAACAAGGGAATCGTATAAAAAAAATGGGTGAAATTATGCAGGAAATCAATGAATTTGAGGTACAGAAAAAAAAAAACATTAATGAGTAGAAAATGACACTGAAATTATGGATCATCAAAAAAATATTAAATGGGACTATTTTTTTGTAAAAAAACGAAAAAAAGTGAATCGAAAAAAATTCAAGAAAAACATACCAAGGAACAGGAGAATGGATTGATGATTTGCACCCTCGAAAATATAATTTTTTTCCCAATATTATTAAAAAAAAATAAAAAATTCGAACAGGAACCATAACGTTTAATGAAGTTTTTTTCAGTGAAAATTTCAACTTTTCAAACTTTTTCTTCCAAACAAATGAAAATCATCAAGATACACAACTCTAATCTTCGAATAATAAAAAAATTATAACAAAAAAAGAAAGTTTTTCCTACTATTTCCATTAAAAAAACTAGCTCAAAAATCCCTAGTTTTTCATGCGATTTTTTTCAGCTTCAAAGTTGACAAGAAAGAAAAAAAGAGAAGTGACTCGCGTGGAAAGAAGAATAAATCAATAGATAAACGGCGGCAAATTTGGACCGGTTGATAAAACGGGCTATCAATTTCGCCGTGTGACGCTTAAACTGTTCTTGATTCTTGTAGGTTCCTTTTCAATCATGAAATACTTTATTTAGTTTTTTTCTAAACTTTTTGATCACATTTCAGTGAAAAATAAAGTTCAAAAAAACTATGAGAAATGACAAATTAAAAAAAGTTTTTTTCAATGCAAAAAAACCAACTTTGAACACAATAAAAGTGATTTTTAAAATGAAAAAAACCTTCAATATATTTCATAAAAATGTCTAAACATGCATAATAAAAAAACGAGTAGAAAAAATTGAAGCTATCAAATGATTTTTTTGGTTAATTTACGGAAAACAAAGACCAATGTATCTTGATTTGATAAACAAATAAATGAATGCTTGGAGCAAAAGCAAAAAGACGAAACCAAAAGAAAAAAATTATTCAAAAAAATGAGACGAACAGGTCGGTCAACTGCTGCCAGCCTGTTAAACTGATAAACAGCCCTAATATTATCACTAAAACAAAAAAGAGACGTATTTGCGTGGAGGTTTCGTGCCGAGAAGTTCTGAAGAAAGTGTGGCTGAGCGAGAGAGCGCCGGGTGGCAGAGACGCAGACGCGAAGACGTCAACGCGGCGCAATTACGCCGCTCGCGACGTTATTTCCCCGCTGGCGCGGCAGCAAAGAACACCCAAGGATGAAAGAAGGTGGAGCATTGCTGAACTCCTTGAGCTCCAGGTCATGGGATTAGAAAATGAAGTGAGTAGGAAAAATTTTGCACGGGAAAAATTATGACAACCTCGAAAGGAATTTATGACACAGATAAATCTAATCAACTCCAACTGGGAAAAAAGCGAATTAAAGCCGTGTTCAAACTAATTTCGACGATTTCAAAATTAACGCGTTTTTCGTTCAGAATGCTTTCGGCAAATAGGCAGAATTGGTATTCCGGGAAGGTGAGTCCGACAACGATATTTCGTTTTATATGCCTTTTAACTGTAACTTCTGCGCGGGAACTCAAAATTTTGGAGTTATTTGGGCATTTTCTACTGAAATTTCAAATTCGCGCGTAAAACTCACCGTAAAAATGCGTATCCAACGATATATCGTTGTAGGACTCACTTTTTGTGCCCCTTCCCGGAATACCGATTCTACCTATCTCCCGAAATCATTTTAAACGAATAACGCGTCTATTTTTATGGCGTGTTCATCGGACAAAACGAAAATTGCTTCGAAACGCAAAAAAATTGCTTCAAAACAAAAATTAGGACTGTTTTGGAGCAACTTTGGCGCGCCAATGAACACGATTTTTTGTTTTGAAGCATGTTCCGTTTCTCCGATGAACACGCCATTAAATCGCCGAAATTATTTTGAACACGGCATAAATCATGAGTCTGGCGCTGAAAATTGGTCCTGAAACGAAGAGCAGTGCGCTGGGGCGCGCTTGACCGTCATTTTTAAATAAATTTTGAGTCAATTTTTTTTTGACGAATATTCATTGTATTTCTAGTTGAAATTTGGTTTTTTCATATGTTTCTGCTTGAATAATAGTCTTTGAAAAAAATGGAGAAGATATATATAAGGCTGTTTTTCCAATAATTTATAGAATTTCGTGTGAGGAATCCGGTGCTCAGTCCAATGACCCTTTTCATGATTAAATTTCATCTTCAGGTCATCCAAGTTGAAAGTTTTGATATTACAACAAGCTAATTTTTTTATCAGGTTAGTCCTCTTTTCTTTTTTTTAAATCCCACTAAAGTTGGAAAAATTTTTCGAGTCATAATAAAAAAATAAAAAAAATAACGTATTTATAGTATTTTCGTTTGAAATTTGTGAAATATTATTATTATCATTTTATTGAACATAAGTATATTTAGAACAAACTATAAACCTTTTCGAAAAGTGCAAAAATAATAATGGTGGTAGGTGATCACTTTAAACTGTGGCACCTGTTGACCCGCGACAAAGACACACACAAAGGAAAACGAGAGAAAACTCGGGATCAGTAAAAGCAAAAAAAAATGGGTTATTTTTCAGGTAAACGAAAGGATTCTTGACCTGTTGCGAAATTTTTTATGCAGTTTCTATTTTGAAAACTTTTTTAGAGGCTTTGAAAAGCACAGAACAATTTTTAGAACAATGAAAATCATTCAAAAAAAACTTTCTGAAAAAACCTCATTTCTATATTTCAAATTTAAGTTTCTTTCAGTTTTTTAACTTTCGCTGACGTAAAGTGAAGGTAAATTTATAACCTTGTCATATTTTTTTCGTCTAGACCACTCAGGAACGCTAGAGAAGTCCCTAGAGGAGTTAAGGGGAGAAAAAGCCCCTATAGAAGACGGAATAATGCTCCCTAGAGGGCTGAAATCGAAGTGGTCCTTATAGGGATATAGGATGGGATCTCTAAGCCCTTAAAGTGATTCCAATAATGGTCTTTTAGTCTTTATTATATAAAAAAGCATATAGAGACCATTAAAATGCCCCCTGTAGTGATCACTAACTGAAAACCCTAGAGTTCTGCGAGCTTCTGCGAGCTTCAATGCTTTCTATAAGTGAAGATAAAGTGGTATGTCATCCTGATGCGATCATCATATTAGAAAGAAGTTAGAATTTGATAAATCTGACTTTTCTTATCTAGGGAAGGAGAGAAGGATCTGCATAGCGAAGTCGGAAAGAGTGGAAAAGGCCCTATAGAAATGTTCCTTTTTTGCTGCCTTTTTGCGCCATTTCATCGGCTCTTATGCACCATTTTTGCTGCCTCTCCCTTTTTTCACCATTTCTTGAGCTGGCTTCAGCTCCCAATATGACTTATAAAAAATACTTTATCAATTGAAGGATGCAGTTTTTCACGCTGATTCTAAATCTGGTTACGAAAACTGTTGATTCTGGAATACCTTGACCCTTATGATCAACTTCGAGAAATCTTGGCTCAAAAATGTATTCAGTGAAGAATATTAATCGTCTTTAAAAGCCGATCAGTTCTGTCCACCAATTTAAAAATTGAACTTGAGCAGACTTATTTACAATTTTTAGAGTGGCCCTATAGGGGCTAGGGGATCAACAGCCCCTTGAAGGGCTTAAAAAGTGATCCCTATAGGTAGGGGGCGCAAAGCCCCGCCCCTTCACGCCACCAAAATGACGATTTTTTTGTTGCAAAAACGGTTTTGAGGCGTTTATACTAGCTAAAGTCCCACTTTAAAAATTAACTGTTTCTGTTAATCTATGTAATCGACAACGCTCTACAAGACTGAATATTTTTAAAACTATTTATTTTTCAAAAATAAGCGAAAAAGTAAGATTTAACACGAAAAAAACTGACAAGTTTCACAAAATCGTCGCGTTTCAGAAAACCAAGTGAGGAACGCTTCTAAATTTTTGAGTATGCTATACATTAACACTTTCTTTATTTTTTTGAGTGAAAATGAAAAAAATCTACCGACGCGAAAAAAATATTAAAGCTTGTAAAGTGACACCAAACTTTGAAGCTGAAATGCGAAAAAAAATTTCAGCGACATGGTATACTTTTTTTATTTGATTTGAAAACTAACAGTGTGTCCAAAAAAATAAAAAAATTCAAAATGAAAAATAATTATTGGGACAGCGAATCAAATTATATTTGAGTTTTACCAAAACCTCCTTTTTTTCGCCTGCCTCGTTGACGCATGAGAGAATAGGATCGCGTCTATATTTTTTTGATTATGTTATTAAGCGTTCAAAAACTCTATCAATGAAAAAAATTATGAAAAAAATCGATCGACGCGAAAAAAAATAACGGCTTTGAAAAACCTCGAAAAAAATGGCAATTTTTTTGAAATTTCGGAAGATTTCGTGCAAGCGTCCGTAGCAGTGTTTGCGTCAAACACACCGAAGCGCCCCTTTTAAATGTCGCAGGAGCCGTTTTTTCGGAGTCAAATTGCACTTTTTTTCCTGTTTTATTTCGAAATAACATTATTTTTTTCATTTTTTTCTTTTTTTCCAAATCGAATGATAATAATTTTTTTCTGAGTAGAAAAAAAGAAAAAAATAAGCTGAAAAAAATCCCTTTGACCTTCTTTTTCTAGGTAGTTTTTTTGATATTTTTATCAAAAAAATTCTTATGAGGATTGTACAAAAGATTCATACCAAAACATGAAGCTCAGTTCTGACAACCTCTCGGAACAGAAAACCGATTTAAAAACGGTCCAGAAACGCGCAAAAACATTTAAAAAGAAAGCGTGCGGCAGCGGGTAAACCGTGAGATTTTGCCTCCAGTTGAACGCCGCGCGCGCTAGTTTTTTGGCCATAACTTTTTTCTTAGTGGACCTTTTTTCAAAAACTAAACGGATTATGAAATTGGACAGTCTCCTCTATCAAACAATGTGAAAAACATATTTTTTGAATCGTTCTGAAGAAATGGCTTGCGGACCCTACCTATAGGGGTCGTTCAATTTTATTCGAAAAAGGTTAATTTTTTAGTTTTTCGCATGGAATCGCTTTTTCGGATAGGGTTCATAAAAATGATCGACTAGCATGTCCTCTATAGGGATCACTTTTGCAAGCTTTAGTGGCCACTACAGGGGTTGTAAAAAAGGCTTCAACGTTGCCCCTATAGGGACCACTCTGGAGTTTCTAGGTAACGACTTCAAGTCGAAAACCTTTTTCGGGAATTTCCTTGGCTTTTTCAATGCTTTTGAACCTTAAAATTTGGCCATCCTTCGGTGCTTCAGAGTGGTCCCTCAAGAGGCAAGCGTAGGGGCCCTTAGAGGGTCCTCTCAAAGAACCACTTTACCAACCCTATAGGGGTCACTGAAGATCGCAAATGTTGTCTCTATAGGGGACATTTTAAGCGATTAATAATGGAGAGAAAGCGTTTCCAAGCTTAAATTTCAATATTTAAGGGTTAATTGAATGATAAATATTAATAGGATCACGTTTGTCCTTCCCGTTTTCAGAACAAAAAAATTTAAAAACCCTATGGGGACCACTTGAGCTTCAGGGACATGAAGGCCGAACTCTAAACCCCTCTAGGGACCACCTGAACTTCACCTCTACATGTGGCACCTTTTATCACCTGTAAGGGCTGGTTTCCCCGACCCCTATAGAGACCACTTGAGCTTCAGGGACAGGCTCTGAACCCCTATAGTGACCACCTTAGCTTAACCTCTATAGGGGCACTTTTTCGTCGCCTCTGCTCCCCAACCCCTATAGGGACCACTCTCCGAAGCTTGTTAATGGTCTTCGTTTCGGCTTTTTTTTAAGTTTCAAGTCGAATTTCAGCTTCAAAATTTGTACAAAACCATTTCGAAGTTTCTTTTTTCGTTTTTCTCATCAATCAAGCGGAAAAAACCTGAACTTTCGCAACAATATTACGCGAGAAACAACACAAATCACCGGTGGGGAAATGATGAGAAAGCCGAGAAAGTTGATTGGGAATCCTGTCTTTCTTGTACCCCCCGCTTCTTTGATGGCCCAGTGTTCGTCTCTTTTTCTTTGCCTTCTTTGCCTTCTTTACGTATCGAACAACAATGCTGACGATGGTATTACGTTCCTCGATCTGTATTTTTACTGTTTTTCTCAGATTTGTGGTTAGTTATTTTTCCTAAAATCGATAATTGTAGACTTGGGTTGATGTTGCTCATGCTAGGAATTTTCAGAGGCCACTTGAGGGCTTTGACAGTTTAGCGGCCATTTCAGTAGTCGAATTAGTGGCCCCTTGAGTGGCTAACATTAATAGCTTCTTTAAAAGTTCAATTGGTACTACTAGTTCACTAAAAATCACTATAGTGGCTTCTATAGAGGTTTTTAGTCGCCACTTTAGGGCTTCGACAGTTTAGCGGCCATTTCAGTAGTCGAATTAGGGGCCCCTTAAGTGGATATCATTTAATGGCTTTTTTAAATGTCTAAGTGGTACTACTAGCTCATTAAAAGTCACTATAGAGGTTTTTTAATGGTCACTTTAGGGCTTTGACGTTTCAGATCCCACTATAGTAGTCGAATTAGTGGCCCCTTAAGTGGATAACATTCAATGGCCTCTGTAAATGTCTAACTGGTACTATCATTCCACTAAAATCACTATAGAGGCTTCTTAAGAGATTTTAAAAGGCCACTTGAGGGCTTCGACGTTTTAGTGGCCACTTCAGTAGTCGAATTAGGGGCCCCTTAAGTGGCTATCATTCAGTGGCTTTTTCAAATTTTCTAGTGGTGCTAATTATTCACTAAAAGTCACTATAGTGGCTTCTATTGAAGTTTTATAATGGCCACTTGAGGGATTTGACAGTTTAGTAGCCACTATAGTAGTCGAATTAGTGGCCCCTTAAGTGGCTATCATTTAATGGCTTTTTTAAATGTCTAAGTGGTACTACTAGCTCATTAAAAGTCACTATAGAGGTTTTTTAATGGTCACTTTAGGGCTTTGACGTTTCAGATCCCACTATAGTAGTCGAATTAGTGGCCCATTGAGTGGCTAACATCAATAGCTTCTTTAAATGTTCTAGTGGTACTAATAATTCACTAAAAATCACTATAGTGGCTTCTATAGAGGTTTTTAGTCGCCACTTTAGGGCTTTGACAGTTTAGCGGCCATTTCAGTAGTCGAATTAGGGGCCCCTTAAGTGGCTATCATTTAATGGCTTCTTTAAATGTTTAATCGGTACTACTACCCCACTAAAATCACTATAGAGGCTTCTATAAAGATTTTAAAAAGCCACTTTAGGGCAATGACGTTTTAGTGGCCCCTTAAGTGGTTAACATTCAACGGCCTTTGAAGGTCTAATTAGTACTACTGGTTCACTTAAAATCACTCTAGTGACCAGAATAGTTACTTCTATAAAGGTAATTCTAGTGGCCGCTATAGTGTTCTCACTAAGAAGTTCTTGAGAAACCTCTGAAGTGGCCTTTATTGCTTTTTTTTTAACCATTTTTTTTATTTTTGAATATTTTTAAGTCGATAAATTTAATACTATGCGTTTTTTACAGTTTTATGTTTGTTCACGATTTTTTTTTCATCCGATTTTCGTTGATAAAAAAAATGGGTCCCTTGAAGGTCCCCCTCTAGGGATCGCCTTACCTACCACTATAGGGGCCACTTTTGCAGGCTTCAGTGCCCCCTGTAGGGTTATAAGCTGGTGGTGCAAGTTGTCCCTAGCTCCTATAGGGACCCCTTAAGCTTTCTTGTGGCCCGTACCCTAAACCTCTAATCACCTGAATTTAACCCCTATAGGGGCCCTCTGGCGTTCTTAAGTTAGTTGGAAAATTTTTTAGACCAAAAAATTGTCAACAGTGTTTTTTTTGGTTGAAAATCAAGTAAGTTTTTAAGAATTTCAGAAATTTTCAGTATTGAAACTATTAGAAAAAGTAGCAAAGTTCAAGGAAAATATGGATTTTGTTAAATGAAAGATAGTTTGGGGCCTTGTTTCATTTTACCAATCTCAGGCCTCTGAAAGGACCCCAACTCTGACGGAGATCTCAAGTCTCCGAGACCCGGTCCTGGACGACGTCTTCCGATCCACAGGCTCCTCAGCGTCGGCCTCGACTTCTCCAGAAGCTTTTCCTTATCCGGATGAGACGTCTCAAGGCGGGGGAAGCCAGTTTAGGCCGGACAACAGGCAGCCGGATATGTCTGGACCTTCCAGATTCTCTGGCCAAAGATATGGTAGGTTTTGGAAAAACCCTTGTCATTAGTCATAGGCAAAATCGGAAAAGGTGGTAAAAAAAGGCTCCTTTTTGCTGCCTTTTTGCGCCCTTTCATGGGCTGTTTTGCTGCCTCTCCCTTTTTTCACCATTTCTTGAGCCGTTAAAATCGCAAAAAAATGGTAGCCTTGTTAAAGGGACTCTTTCTGCTGCCTTTTCGCTGCCTTTTTGAAGCCTTTTTGCAGCCTTTTTGCGGCCTTTTTGGTGCCTTTTTCGAGCCTCTTTCTTTTAGCGGCTATTATTCACCATTCCGGTGTTGCCCGAGGGTTTAGACGTTCAGAATCATTTTCTGGTAAAGGTTTAGAAATTTTCCAAAGTGGAATGACCTTCCTTTTAGACGTTTCTGAGTGTCTCAAACTATTAAATTTTAAATATTTTTCCCAAAATGATAAATTTCTTTCTGGGGCCTTTTTGAACCTTTTCCTCTTGCTGATCTATTGGTGACTTTTTGGCGAAAAATGATCATTTTTTCTAAAGAAAAATTGCAACGTTCAAAACAAGCATTAACTGTTTTCTCGGGATTATTTTTTTTTAAAGATTAGTTTTTTTAGTAAACAAAGGTTAAAAGCTACACTTAGGGAGTTTATAAGATCCATTTTAAGGTTAGGAATCCTGTGGAAACTTCTTGATATACCAGATGAAGGTCCTGAAAGCCTGAACCTTTCCGACTCCTTAGTTTTCGAGAGTTAATGGTTCTAAACCTCAAAATGGTTTTGAGGGTTTTCTCAGCATGTCTTTTACGTACAGAAATTTCTTTTGATTAATGAAAAAGTTTTTTTGGCCAAATTCCAATGACTTTTTTTCTCAATTTCTAGCTCTGGAACTGTAGTTGGCCGAACTTAAAATTTGATACAAAAATCAATTAAATGGCGTCAGTTTTTCGAAATAAACGATGAAAGCCAAATTTTTGAATTCAGTGTGAAATTGTGCGTAGAAAAATCTTCGAAAAACTTGAAAAATGAAAATTTTCCATTTCTCGATTTTTGGTCTTAAAAGTGACATAAACTTTTCCGCAATCTGAATTTCTTGATAGGAGTCAAATTTTTGAATTGGGCAGAAAATTCTGAGCAAGAAACTGCTTCAAAAATCTCAAAAAGGCAAAAATAAAGATTTTTAAAGATTCCGAAAAAGCGTTTTAGGCAACTTGGACCTGGAAAATAATTTTTCTAAACTATCAAAGGAATGACGCTTTTTCTCGATTCATTTATGGTTATTCAGAAGTCCCAATCAACCACGCTCACGCCTTGGGCCCAAGGCCCGAACAGGGACCCCCGCCTCCGCCTCAGCAAAACTCGGGCCTGACCCAACTCGCCGAAACCGGCGCCAACGTCTTCGCCACTGGCGCTCATGCGTTTTACAGGTTTCGTGGAGTTTCAGGTTGAGAAAAAAAAAATTCATGTAGACTGAGTTAAATTATTCGATTCTTCTAGGAAATCTCTTTTTCTCGAATTTAATTTCTGATATTCTTTATCGGCAAAACTTTAATTTTATTTAAATGTCGTGAAGTTTAATTTCCTTCAATTTTCACCTCAAAAGCTTCAAAATATTTTTTTAACCTTATTTGAACCTTTTTAACAAACGCGAATTACACCAAATCACGAAGAAAAAAATTAAAAAAAGTTTTAGAGCCAATTCCCTCTCACCGTAGCGCTTCTAGAGCCATTCCAAGTGCGGCCACACGGTTTTTTTTTTCCTATGGAACCAAGAGTTTAAACTGATAACAATTCTTTGTATCCATATTTTTCCATAAACTCATTCCAGAGGAGCCGCATCAGTCGGTCAGGCTTTCGGACTCCCCCAAGGCGGCTACGAAGTCCCTCTTCTCTCCTCGGCCTCCCAATTCTTCGGACGCTAAGCCAAAAATTCTCAAACAACCTTTGAGATCTCAACTCTGTTTGTATTATATCGGAAACCTGTTAGCTTTAGTCCATGATTAATAAACGCGATTTCGGTTCCATTGGACTTTGACTACAAGAAAAAAAAAGAAGATGAAGCTGCAGATGTTGCCAAGAAGCCTCGAGAAGAACATCAATCAAGGTTCTCTTTTTTCCCGTTGAAAGTGTAAAAAACTTCTGGGCACTTGTGGCACGAGGAAATTGTTTCAATCTTTTCAGAAGCTCGTGAAAATTGGAAAAAAGAGTGTCAGCGTAGTATTAGAAATTGAAAAAAATTCTAGAAAATTCCCTTAACTTTTTTTAAAAACCTTTTTTTCCAGAACCAATTTGAACTTTTACGCCCCCCACCCTCCCAACACACTACCCCCAGCACGTGGCTACTTCTACGCGTCTGCGCGCTGGCACTCTCGGCCCACTTAGTATAGTGGTTAGTACTCCACGTTGTGGCCGTGGCGACGCAGGTTCGATTCCTGCAGTGGGCAACGTTTTTGCCAGTTTGTCTTTTGCTGGGTTTTGAGAAGCATTAAAGCCTTGTAAGAGCTTTTTTGGAGACTTACTAGCCAGATTTCAATAAAAGAAATAATTTTGAATGTTTTAGAAAGATATTTGGTTTGAAGGAGGCAGAAAAGCATCGCAATTCGAACGTAGGAATGTTATTTTTAAGTTTTTAATTTACCATGTAGCGCGAAATTAAGATATCTTTTGATTTATCCAATTTCGAAGCTTGTATAAAATTGTATTCGAGTTATCCATGAAACTCAAGAGACTATAGAGGAAAATTTTGTTTTTTAACTTTAATTTAACAGCTTCTCAATTGTTTTCCTGGCCTTGGGAAACCTCGAGGAAGAGTACAAACTTCCTTGTTGTCGTTTTTTTTTTCAAATCGACTAAAAAAAGTTCCGCTTTTTCTCCGTAGGATCACGGCAGCCTGCAGAATGTCTATTATCAATCAAAATCACCTTAACATTCTTTTTTTCTCGGTTGGCTTCAAGCCGCAACATGACGGGACAGTTGCTGCACCTTGTGACGAAAATTCGAGCAAAGAGCGTCTGGAAAACCATTTGTTAAAACTCCCCGGAGCCACCTGACCCACGGATAAATTCGCTTTTGGCTGCTCTTTTGGATCCGCCGCTAGTCGTCAATACAAACAACGTGTTCCGGTTTGTTTATCAATTTTTATTGGATGATTTGGGAGAGTTGCGGCTTGATATTGGTATCATTCGATAGAGAATGAAATTCTGATTCGAATGATATGAAATTCAAGTAGAAATTTCAAAAAATAGAGACATGCCTTTTCAGGCTCTCTTCTTGTTATCGTCCTAAAACTTCCAAAATAATTTTCCAAGACAAAATTTCAAAATTTTCCTTCAAAAATACAACGCCAACAATGTGATAAGCAACGATAGGGTGCCACTTGAGCGATTCTGAGCGGTGGCAATCTCGGCCCACTTAGTATAGTGGTTAGTACTCCACGTTGTGGCCGTGGCGACGCAGGTTCGATTCCTGCAGTGGGCAACTGTTTTGCCTTTTTCCATTTTGCTCCATTTGGCGATATATTCAAATGCCCTTTTTGATTCAAATGTCATTAAAAGCTGCTTTTTTACCCTTTTTGAATATTATTCGCTGAAAAAAGCTGAGATTTTCATTTCAAAGAACAAAGCACAATGATTGGGGGTCACCCACTAAAAACCGCTATAAATATCGAAAGCTGAAAAAAGGAACATATATTTGTGGGCGGAGCCGAAAGCCCTAGAGCAAATTTGCTCAGCCGACGTACTGTTACGTTGCCTTTGGCGATTAGCCTTATAAGAGCTCTGACACTTTTCACGACTCCAGTGTTCTTTTCACCCTTCTTTTTTATTACGAATCAATTTTTTTTTGAAATTTGAAGATAGTTTCTGTTAATTCAGTGTGCGGAGGAGCTTAGATGTTGAGTAAAACAAATGAAATGTGAAAATTGCTCTTTTTCTGATCTTGAATCTCCCTATGGGAAACTGAAAGAGGCCAAGTTTACTACTAGAAGCGGTTTTTTAAGAGCTTCGACGTTTTAGTGGCCACTATAGTAGTCGAATAAGTCACCACTTGAGTGGCTAAAATTTAGGGGCCTCTTTAAAAGTTCACTTCTAGTGCACTATAGTGACCACTAAGTGGTTTCAGCGGCCACTGTAGTGTCTATTCTAAGTAGTTTTTGAGAGACCTCTTAAGTGGCCACTAGAGCATTTCCTAGTTCTGCTTTCGGTTCCTCGGAAGGCGTTCGGAAGCTTCCAGCAAGTCGTCAAACGCCTCCCAAAAAGGTTCCCAAAACCTTCTAGTTACCTTCCAGAAGGCTGCTGGAGGGCTGCTGGCAGGCTTCTAGCTTCCAAATACCTCCTGAACACCTTGCCAAGGCCTGCTAGCTTCCATTTACCTTCCCTGAATTCGCCGGAGAACTAAAATAAAACTTTTCGATCCTTCTGTAAACTTCAACTTCTAATAATTATCTATCATTCCCGAGAGCTTCCCAAAACCTTCTAGTTACCTTCCAGAAGACTGCTGGAGGGCTGCTGGAGGGCTGCTGCCAGGCTTCTGGCGGGCTTTTAGCTTCCAATTACCTTCTGAACACCTTGCCAAGGCCTTTCAGCTGCTTTCGGTCCCTTGGAAGGCGTTCGGAAGCTTCCCGGCAAGTCGTCAAACGCCTCCCAAAAAGGTTCCCCAAACGTTCTAGTTACCTTCCAGAAGCCTGCTGGAGGGCTGCTGGAGGGCTGCTGACAGGCTTTTAGCTTCCAAATACCTTCTGAACACCTTTCCAAGGCCTTCTAGCTTCCATTAATCTGCCCAGAATTCACCTTAAGACTAAAATAAGACTTCCCGATCCTTCTGGAAACTTCAACCTCATCTTGCACCCACCCTTTTTTATCTCAAGATCCATTCATTATCTATCCCTTCCCCAATAGTCGGTCGGATATCACGTGAATAAGAAGCCGTCGCGTTTGATCCGTTATCTGAGCCTGGCCATCTGCAGATACCCATCGGTTTATTACGAATCCTTCGCCCCTCGTCTCCCGAGGATCGCTTCATTTCCTCCGCTTCCATATTTGACCTCCCGCCCGACGTTCTCTTTCTTTTAATTTTGCTTTGGCTTCGATTTACGAGATCAGACATCTTCCATCTTATGAAACTGTTCCATCTTGTTTTGAGATACTAGGCAAAACTCTAGTGACCACTTAAGAGGCTCCTCAAAGATTACTTAGAGGCAACTCTTAAGTGGTCCCTAAATATCCTTTATAGACTATTTTTGAATGATCTTTTGAAACTAATCCATCTTGTTTTTAGATACTAGGCAAATCTCTAGTGGCCACTTAAGAGATTCCTCAAAGACTACTTGGAGGGGACACTTAAGTGGTTACTTAATCTTCTTTATAGACTATATTTGAACGCAGTTCTTTTTGAAACTGTTGCATCTTGTTTTGAGCTTCTTGGCAAAGCTCTAGTGGCCACTTAAGAGATTCCTCAAAGACTTCTTGGAGGGGACACTTAAGTGGTCACTATAAGGACTATAGAAGCCCCTATATTGCGTCTTGGGGGCCACTACAGTAGTTTTTGCCCCCTAGTAGTACCGTTTAGACTCCTAAAAAGCCCATTTCTAGCCACTTAAGTGGCAACTTATTCGACTACTCTAGGGGCCACTTAAATGTCACAACCCTAAATTGACCACTTAAAAATTTCTATAGAAGCCACTATGGTGATTTTTAGGGAATTAGTAGTATCACTAGAACATTTGAAGAAGCCACTTAGGTGGCCACAAATCCGACTACCATAGGGACCACTAAAACGTCTAAACCCTAAAGAGGCTTCTAAAAATCTTCCCAGTTGGGAAATAACTTTTCGATTTTTTTTAATTGAAAAAAACACCAAATTCTCTTCTTCATTCGCAGTTTCAAAAAGTCTGACCTGTCTGCGTCTCTCTTCCTCACCAATGTCAAAGAAACGCGAAAAATAGCAGGTTAAAACGAGAGAGTAGCCGAGAAAAACAGAATTATACGAGATATGGCGAATAATGTTCACTTTTGACTGTAAGAATTTGAAAAAAAGTAAAAACTCAACTGGAACTTTTTAGGGGCCCCTTAAGGGCTGAAATTTACGGTCGTTTACAGCATTCAAGTGGTCACTCAAGTGACTAACAGGTACCAACAAAGCCGCTAATTGATTCTCCGGTGCAGGACTTTTGACGGTTTGGTGACGAATCCAGTGACACATCGGCCTTGTGGGCGGAGCTTATGGGTGTCGAGAGTGTGTTAGGAGATAGGAGAGTGTGTAGAAAAAAAGAGAGAGGCGCAGGTACAGTTGAACTCCCAGTCTTGAGTCTTAGCCTTGCTAGAGAGAGGTTTGGTTTAGGCTTCTTTTTGACTTATTAGGGATTTTTATATTAAATGAATGTGTGTAGCTCAACCGGTTAGATAGTTGTACTTCAGTTAGAAGGCCACTGGTTCGACCCCGGGCCTCGTTTTTGCCATTTTTCTCGTTTTTTCCTTTTTTTTTCGAAAACTTACTGGATCGAGTCATAAAAATTCCTACTTTTGGTTTTCCTACAATTTTTTTCACAATCATTAAAAGGTACAGCTCATCCGGTAAGAATCTTGTCTGCAAGTTTAAAGGTCCTTGGTTCGACTCCAGCTGGCGTTTTTGCCATTTTTTGACAATATTTTTGAATTTTCTCTAGTAGTGGTGCTCTCATTTGAAAAAAAAAGTTCCGAAGCCAAATTTGAAAAAAAAAAAGTTAAGAAGGCTTTGAAACCGGCTTTTTCGCTTCCGGACAGCGTTCACGATCCTTAAAACATATAGCTCATCCGGTAAGAATCTTTTCTTCAAGTCTGAAGGTCCTTGGTTCGACTCCACCTAGCGTTTTTGCCATTTTTTGCCAATTTTTTTGAATTTTTTTTTCGATTTTTTTTTCTAGTAGTAGTGTTCTCATTAGACTGAAAAAGTTCCGGAGTTTATCCAGTCTTAAGGTCCTTGGTTCGACTCCACCTAGCGTTTTTGCCATTTTTGCCAATATTTTTTGTATTTTTCTCTAGTAGTAGAGCTCTCATTTGAAAAAAAAAGTTCCGGAGCAAAAATTTGAAAAAAAGACGGTAAGAAGGCTTTGAAACCCGCTTTTTCGCGTCCGGATAGCGTTCACCATCCTTGAAAATCTCATCCGGTAAGACTCTTGTCTGCAAGTCTGGAGGTCCTTGGTTCGACTCCACCTAGCGTTTTTGCCATTTTTTGCCGATTTTTTTGAATGTTTTTTTCGATTTTTTTTTCTAGTAGTAGTGTTCTCATTAGACTGAAAAGTTCCGGAGTTTATCCAGTCTAAAAGTCCTTGGTTTAACTCCACCTAGCGTTTTCGCCATTTTGCCAATATTTTTCCTTTTTTTCTAGTAGTAGTCTCATTGGAATAAAAAAATCCAGAGTTTAGCCAAATTTTGAAAAAAAAATGCTTCGAAACTCGCTTTTTCGCTTCCAGACAGCTTTTTTTGATCTTTTTGACCTTCTTGAAAACTTTGACCTTCTACCGCCTTAAGACTTCTTTGTAATCATTTTCGGATCTTTTCGTTTTTTCTGAAAGTCAGGCTTTTTTCGATGTTTCTTGATTTTTTCTCGATTTTTCCCCGTCTTCCAATCGTTTTTCCAAGTTGATCAACTACTCTTTTCCAGAACCTTTCCATTAAAATGAACCGATTTCTGATCTTCGCCATCCTCGTCGCCGCCGCCGGCGCCTTCAACTACTACCGTGAGGATGGAGATCAATTGGTTCGTTTTTTTTTATAATCTTCTAGATTTTTATTCGCTATTTACTTCAATAAAAATTATATTGGATATTTTCCAGCTGATCCGCGCCGCCCGTGACGCCGATTCTTCAGAATCCAACGAAAAAATCGAAGCCGTGAGTTTTTTTGAAACAGAGAAAGTTTCTGAAAAGTATATTTTTCGCTTTTATTATTCCTATTTTGCATAACTTCATTCTTATATGAGTCTCTTTGAAGCATCTATAAGCAAAAAAGGCAAATTTTGTTCGAATTTAAAGGCGCATGGGACGGTTCTGAAAGATGTTTCGGTGCGAAAAGAGCTTTTTAAAAAGCAAATAGTTTAAAGAATGAAGAAAAACCATTAAATTGGCTCAATCCAAAGCCTGTTTTGGGAAAATTCAGCCGATTTACGGCTGGCTTGGGACTCTAGGGGGCGTGGCCTGTCTGCGCTCTCCACCAACCAGACACTATCTCTTTCATTGTCGTGTCAGGACCCATTTCTCCATGGCTCAAGCCAGCCGTGAATCTGCTATAGCAAGGCCATTGAAAAATGGGTCCTGACACGATAAAATAAGAGAGTGCTTGGCTCGTGGAGAGCGCAGACAGGCCAGCGTAAATTGTCCAAGAATAACCCAAGATCCCTTCAGACGACGATCGAAGCTTCTGGAGAGCTGACGCGAGTCGTACGAGAAGCTTCCGGAGACTCGAGCTCGTCGGAAGAGTCGGACGAGAAGTCGAAGACGACCATCGTTGGCGGCAAGACGACGACCGTCGTTGAAGGATCTGGCATCAATCTCGTCGAGGAGAAGACTGCCGTCGTCGCTGAGGTCGGTGGATTTTCAAGGAGAATATTCATCTCAATTTTTGGTCACTAGAACTGCAGGTTTTACCAACCCTAGAGGGGTCACTTGCAAAAGAGGCCACATTTTTTGAATAAATTGAAAGACCCCTATAGGGACCGCTTGAGCTTTAGGGGCTAAAAAGTCAGACCCTAAACCCCTATAGGGACCACCTTGATTTTAGCACTCTAGGGACCACTTTTTCGGCCCCTATATGGGTCACTGAGACTTGCAGAAGTGGCCCCTGTGCTTTGAATAAAATTGAGAGACCCCTATAGGGACCGCTAGAGCTTTAGGAGCTCAGAAGTCAGATCCTAAACCCCAATAGGGGCCACTTTTTCGGCCCCTCTAGGGATCCCTCTAACTTTCCTAAGCCTCCATTGATTTTTCGGAACGAAGGGACCTTTCTAGGGTTATCAGAGCTTTTTCCAAGCCTTTGCGCCTTTAAAAACCGGATTTTTAAAAAAGACTGTACATCCACCAACTACTTCTACTCCACTATCAACTCGATAGAAACGATAAAACTGATGCATTTTTCAGATCACCTCCGCGCCGGTTCGCTTCATCCGATCCGCCGAAATCGAGGGTTCCGGAATCGCCGTCAACTAACATCTTAACTATCTCCACTTTGTAATTTCCTTTCATGTAATCTCGTCTTTCTGTATCTCCTGAATATTCAATTGTTTGTCCTTATTGATGCCACGAAAAAAAGAAAATCTCAAATAAAGTTTATTTTTTCTTATTCTGTGAAGTTTTGAGCACAAGAAAGACCCGTTGGAAGTAAAATGAAGGCGGTTTAAAGGAGCATAGGTAATTGGCTGCGCCTTTAAGGAAAATAGGAATTTCTGGTACTGACTATCATTTCGTGTTCAAACTAACTATTGAGCGACAAAGATGAAAGGAAAAATGAGAAATTTTTCTAAAGAGTGTTTAAAAAATTATTCCTAATCAAGAAAAACTCTGAAAGCTGCATCCTTTTTCCGGCTACCGAGTTCAAAAAGTTAGGAAATCGTAACCAAAAGACCGCTAAGAAAAGACAAAAAAGGGCCTTTTAACAAGCCTCTCATTTTTGCTAGGCCTCAAAAAAGGAGGAGGAAAGGAGAAGCAGCAAAAATAGTTCAAGAGCTCATGAAAGGACAGCTTAAGGGAATGTTTCCACGATCAAGGGAACATTTTCTAAAAGCCTCTGTCTACAGTGACCATCACTGTACTGGCCGACTAAACAGAACGCAAGACCCTAGAGTGACTGCTTGACGACGTCGCGGAAGCCTCGCGGCGGTTCCTTGCCCTCGACGAGGTTGTCGACGAGCCTGGCGATGACTCGGTCGATGTCCGTCTCGACGTAGGCCATGTGGACGAAGCCGGACTCTTCTGGAGTCGCGCCAGCGTGGCAGATGTTGAGCCGTCTGGAGATGTAGTCGCCGATCCGCGAGGCCTGGAACAACTCCATTCACAAGGGGGTCATTTTTCTTTGGGAATTTCCTGAGTACTCCTTGATGGTCCAGAAGAAGATTCTGAAAGTCTCAGCCTGCACAACTTCCATAAGGGTCTGACGCCCCAAAAAAGCTCATTTTAATGAATTTTGAGCGTTTTCTTCGAATTTGCAGGGTTTTTTCTGGAAAAGAAGCAAGTTTTTCAGGTTGAGGCTTCCAGAATCGTCTTCTTGTATATCAAGGATAGTTCTAGCCAATTTTCGGAAAATCCCAAAAGTGAAATGATCTCCCTTGTTAGACATTAAGGAAAGTTATATCTTCTTGAAGATCTTTATTCAACAGTTTCAATGGAAAATTGGTTTTCATAGGCGTTTTCTGACGCTTCAGAGGTCATTCTGAATAGATTATCGTGGAAAAAGTGATAAAAAAAGGCTGATTTTAGCTTTGAAGAAAAATCAGCCTATTTTATGGAAGCTTTAGAAATATCAATCCTTTTTCGGACTGGTAAAAATGAAAAGAATACAAACTATCGACTAATTTCGATTCTAGAACTTGAAAATAATAAGTTTGTCTAAAATTTTGAGCCTTTACTTTTTTTCTGGCGAAAATTAGTAGATTACAGAGCTTCTGGGCGACCGCAAAGCGCCCTGGGTCGACCCGGGCCGGAGCCACTTTTTTTAAAAATTTCCTTCACTCATCTTTTACTATTTCCGCCGCGACTTGACCTCACCGGTAAGTTCGTAGGAAGGCGAAAATAGCGCGTCAAAAAGAGAGGGCGCAGAGAAGTCCCGCCCTTTCAAGTCGCGAAAAACGGACTACACACTTCTCATCATTCTCGGGCCGGGACGCCCGGGAGCGTAGATTCTTACCCTGACAAGTTCCAGACCGTTGCATTCGACGACGACGGCTTGGGACTCGTAGTTCCGGAGTTCTTTCCCTTTGACGACCCTAGCGTGAACTTCCAGGTGCAGTCCTTCCAATAGTAGGGAGGCTGAAATGCTCCTTTTGAAAAAAACAGAAGTTTCATCCGTGAAAAAATATTGACTTCTTTGAAGTCATTTATTCGGTGGTATGAAAAAAAGACCAGCGAAAATTCAAACGGCGACTTTTCCGATTTTTTCATATCGCTAGGGAACTTTCCGACGGCCACCTTTCCGACGGATCCCTTTCCGACTTTTTTCCCTTAAGTTTTTCGGTTTATAAAACATTTATAAACATTGTTTTTTTTCTATTTCTTCGTGTTTTAATCATAAACCAACTACCTTTTTTATATAGGAAGATTTAAAACGAAGATTTTATCGAGAAAAAAGTCGGAAAAGATTCGTCGGGAAGGTGGCCGTCGGAAAGTTCCCTAGCGATATGAAACAATCGGAAAAGTCGTCGTTTAAATTTTCGCTGGTGTTTTTTTCATACCACCATTTATTCAATCAATCGTGAGCAAAAATGGTGCAGAAAAGCCGATGAAATGGCGCAAAAGGGCAGCAAAAAAAGGAACCTTTGTCACCGTATAAAAAACATTTCTATGAATCCTTTCTCGACCCTTTCCGATTTTCATGACGTTTTTTTTAGTGGAAGAAAATGCAATACCAAAAATTAAGAGGGCATGGTCATAACCTCCGCCGTTCCCATGTGACGTTATTGGAAAAACAAAAGGAAATATAAAAGGCGCATCAATGGGTCCCGAGACGAATCTATTTCTTTTTTAAAAAAACGCGAATTTCCTGTTTACTTAAAAAAAAAAAAATGGCGTGCGCCAGAGCGCCGCAGTGTACGCACACGAGACACTACACTTTACGAAAAAAAAAAAATATGGGTGGACCGTCGCCAAAAAAAAACGCCGTGTTTTGCCTATGAATTCACAAACGCTGATAGCCATTCACGACTGGATTCAAAAAATGGTCCTGACACGATAATGAAAGAAAATAGCGCCTGGTTGGTGGAGAGCGCAGACAGACCACGCCTGGCCGTAAATTGGAAAAAAAAAATGCAAACGACGACCCTCAAAACTCACCGACACTCGTAACAGAACTGGAAATGAACTCGTCAAGCTCAGGCTCCGTTTTGGACATCAACAAGGCGCAGTGCTTCAGACGCTGCCGTCCATAGACCAGATCGACGCTATTTTTCTGAGAAATATTTTTTTAAGTGATCACTCAAGGAGTGAACAACCTTTTCATGGTACGCGGCGCCGATGGATTGGACCCTGATCGGCCATTCGTTTTTGTCAGTGAAAGACGATTTGAGGAACGGCGAGCAAAGTGACGCCAAGGAGTTGCCGACTGGAAAAAGAGGGTTTTCTTGCTTTTTGGGATGGATACTAAAGTGGCCACTATAGCAATTTTTAGTGGAGTAAGAGTACCATTTAGACCTCTATAGTGACCACTAGTTCCACTACTTCAGTGGCGTTTAAAACGTCGAAGCCCTAAAGTGGCCACTAAAATTTTCAGTTTTCTAGTAGTACTACTGGTTAAACATCTATAGTGGTCACTAATTTGACTACCATAGCTTAGGAACTCCAGAGTGGTCCCTAGAGGGGCAACCTTTGGGGCCGTTGGAGGATCCCCTCTGGGGACCAATTTACTAACCACTATAATTGTTATGAACTCTATGCGAAGAAGCATTCACATAAGAAAAACTGATTAAATAAGCGTTTTTTAATGAAATTGAACGACCCCTATAGGGTCCACTTGAGATTTAATGGGCTATGTGGTAAGGCCCTAAACCCCTATAGGGACCTCCTAAATTTTACCCCTCTGGGGAGCCCTTTTTCGACTATTATAGGGGTTGTTTTCTTCCTAACCCCTATAGGGACCTCTCTGGAATTCCTAAGAGTGGTCACAAAGAGGTCGAAGCCCTAAAGTGGCCACTGAACGCTGCGAAAATTTCCGGGTTTTCACAAAAGTTATACGGTATTCAAAGTGATTCCGCAAAGCTCAGAATAGACGTCAGAGAAAGAAAAAGATAACTGAAGTTTGGAGAATCAGAGATAATTTTGCTTTTCGCGGAAGTTACTTTAACACAGCATGAAGTATTAGAAAAAAAAATTTGAATGTAATTTTAAAAAAAGGAAAAGACTGAGACTGAATCTCACCCAAATAAGTCAGTGGAAAAGAGGAAGATCCGTCGGTAAAAGGGATAAAATTATTGGCGTCGACATTCAAGGCTTCCAAAATCGCGGCCCTGACAAAATGCGACGGGGACATTAAAGTCGCCTGCGGGAAAAGCTCCAGGATTTGATTTCTGAAGCTTTCTTTCAAAAAAAAATTGTATTTCGCACAACTTGAGCATTTTCTGAACGACTGCCGGGAAGCCGGCCAAATGAACCACATGGTTATTTTTATCGATTCGCAGAAGGCCTTGCTGGGCCAAATATTGGGCATGTTCTGAACTTTTTCCAAGATTTGATAACTTTCTTTCGGTCCAACTTGTCGGTTTCAGCATTTTCCGTTCTTCTTTCCCTACGTTATGGACGAAATTCGGCAAGGAGAGGGCGCCGATCAGGCCCGACTTTTTGGATCGCATCTCCTTTTTCAGTTCTGATATTTGGTCCTGAAAATGAACCGCTCAAAAAAGTGTGAATAGAGAAAACTGTAATAAATACATTATTAGATTTTAAATTGAAAAAAAAACATAGTTCATCATGTAATATTCTCGAAAGTTCACTTTCTTATATCATTATAAAAAAACTTAATATTATTTTTTTCATTAAAAAAATGGTTATCAAAAAGGACATTATGAGCGGAAAACAGAAAGCGCAATGAACATATTATAAAAAAAAGAAGCTTCTAAAAAAAATCTCCAAACCGATTTAGGATCCACCGACTTCCAAGCTTCGTATGCTTTATACCATTCATTATATTCGGCTTCCACGTTTGGAAGTTCAATTTTAAGTCTCCGTTCTTCGACACTTCGGGATAAATCTTCCTTCTTTTCGAATATTGACCTAGAAATTGCGATTATTATAGTTCCATAAGCGTATTTACGCAAGACTTTCTGTATAATTAATGCCATTTACAAAGTAATATAGGCGGTTTCAAAATTGACGCGTTATTCGTTCAGAACGATTTCGCGTAAAGGCTAATTGGATTTCTGGGGGCCGGTAGTGAAATTGAAACTACAGCGATATATCTTGATATGGGAATTTTTCGGTGATCTTTACGCGCGAACTTCAAATTCAAATATTTTAAAACTGTTTTGACATTTTCAAAGAAAAAAGCGCCAATTTCGAAATCGACGAAATTATTGTTAACTGGGCAAAAAAATAAAATATAAATTCATAGTAAAAAAAGTATTTGAAAAGATATCTCGACCTCAAATCAACCAAAGGGTCAACGACGTGGACATCGGCGCCACCGACGAATTTCGCAGCCAAATGCGACAATCTCGCGATTTGACGAATCGGTATCATTTTTAAATGAAATTCGCTAAATTTTATAACTTTTAAATTTTTCAAACTTAGTTTTCAAAGTTGAAAAAAACGACGTGCGGATTACAATTCACCTAGAGAGTCCCATCTCTCATTGCATCTTTCGCAATGCAACAAAAAAAAATGAAAAAAAAAGTAATTTTAATGAAACTTGTATCTTGTCATTATTGACGGAACTGTTTCCTTATTTAATAAAGAACCTTTTGAGAAAGCTCAAATTCTTCCATTTCGCCCATTTCTGTTCAAATAAAATCAAGGGTCATACCGCAAAAAAATAATCAGCAGCCATATTTCGAAATTAAAAAAACTTCATATAAATGACGAAGATATTTATGCGCAAATGTACAGGAAAAAAAGCAACAGGAAAATCGACCGTATGTTATTTAAAAGTGCGGAAAAAACTAAGATCATATTGGGAATGAACTTTGAAAAAAAAAGATTGCAAAGTTTGAAAGCCGTGTAGTGAAGCTCTGAATAGAAGAAAAAATGTTAATGAAAATAAATTTTAAATATTCAGGCGTGGTAAGGAGGTCGGGGATTCGAAAGTCCATATTCGGCGAGAACTGTGTCCAGAAGCTCCTCGGTCAACGTGAATTTCGTCTCCTTGGTCCCTTTCTTCGTCTGTCCCAGGCCTTTCATTCGAGCCTGAACGTGTTGACTTCATAAAAAATTTTTAATAAAAAACGTACAATCGTCATGGCGTCCAGAACAATGTCCGAAACGTGTTTCTGAGCAGCCAGGGCGATCAATCTCAAGGAATATCTCATGACATCCCCGAATTTACTTCTTCCAAACCTCGTAACCCTTGGATCTGTGGAATCGACGCCAGCCGATTTCAGAAAATGGACAGTCACTGAATCGGGGATCGTCGGAGCGTATTCTCCCAGATGATTTATGAAGTTTCGGAGATTGTCTTGCTCTGTCGGTTGCTGAAGCGAATAAAAAGGATTTGAATTCCTGAATTGGATCAAAACTCACTGGACCGCGTTGGGATTGGATAAACTGTTGTTGAACGGCGGTGAGAGGACGATGGAGAGCGGTTCTCCAAATAATTCATTTTCAAAAATCTAAGAGCTCAGAAAAATTACCTCACATGTTGAACAGACGGCTCGGGATTGTGGAAAACTGGCAGATTCTGATTTTGAGTTTGAGGAGCCTGCAAAACGATTTTTCATGCCGTTTTAAATGTAATTTTCGCAAAGTTAAAAATCATCTCCAATACAAAAATCGACGCGTTTTCCGTTCAAAACGGTTCATCAAAATACGCAAAACCGAAATTACGAAAGTTGTTGAAAAACTTTGGTCCTACAACGATAGAGTGATTTTTACGCGCAATTTTAATTGAAAAAGCTTCTAATTTAAAAATTTACGTTTTGCCTGAATTCCTTACAACATTTACAAAATTTCGAAATCCAGTTTTGTGTATTTCGCGGAATCATTGCAAACGAATAACGCCACAATTTCGAAATATTTTGAAAGTTTGGCAAAAATTTTAATAAAAATTTTAACAAATCAAGATTCTTCTCACCGGTGGTTGAGGAGTCCGACCTTCCTGGTACTGGTTATCGCCCATTACTGATCTGAAAAGCATGAATAGAATCAAAAACATGGAATATATGTGATGGCCTGTTCATCGGAGAAACGAAGCATGCTTCAAAACGCAAAAACTCATTCAACTGCTTACGAAAGTCGCTCTGAGAAAGAACTAATTTTTTTAGAGCAACTCCCTTGCATTTGCAAATGCGCATTTCAAAATAATTTCTTATTTTTCCGATGAACACGTCATGAAAGAAAAAAGCAAGAAAAAGAAAGAATTTTAAGCGAAAATTTTCAGCTAAAGAGTATGCACTGTAACCCGCGAGTGTAAACACTATTAATAGTATTACAGTACTCGCAATAGGAAATGTTTTCTTTTTCTTAAAATAATCTATCTAACTATAGTTCTATCAATCTATCTAACTATCTTAAAATAATCTATCTAACTATACTAGTACTAGTAAGTGGCTTTCACGGTGGCGCTGTCAATGGAGAAAAAAAATACTGAAACTTTTAGAGAAAAACACGTGCAAAAATGAAAACATTTTTCAAGGCTGGAAATGATTCGTTGAACTGACGTAAGAAAAAAAAAGTATTGAGATTGGTAAGCTTTGTATACTTCATTTTTGGAACAAGTGAAAGCATTTTTTGAAATAATGTTCACACTTCCGAGACATTTTCAGGGGAAAAATTCGCACATCTCAGTTTTCAAGATTATCGCATTTGAAGCTTGTTTTCAAAAGTTCTCGTGCTCATACTTTTCCGTATTATTAACATTAATAAGCGCAAAAAGCTGAAATAATTTTTTTGAGAATCTCCATGGAGATTTTTGCGTTCGGAAGACATTCGAAGATAATTTTCGAGAGTTATTCTGCAAGTCCGATTGCGGAAGATGAATCAAAAGTTTGTATTTATCTTCAAACTTGATTAACATTTTGACAAAAAGCTTGCAGAGCAGAGTTTGATCTGAACTAGACTCACCAAAAGTTCATTCACGTAATGATCCCTTTTGTCGTTCTCGAATTTCCTATCTTGTACACGGCGTTTTTTGGCGACGCCCCGCCCATATTTTTTCCGTAAAGTGTAGTGTGTCGTGTGCATACACAGCTGCGCTCTGGCACACGCCGCGTTCAACGTAGTTTTTGCGAAGTTCAAAATCATATCTGATCTTTTGAAATTCAGTTGTATTTTTCATTTTCTGGTGGCTATTTTGAATTTCTTTTGCACTTTTTTGTTTTAAAACACGAATTACTTTCAACACGGCATGTGTTTTAAGACAAAAAAAAACAGAAAAATCGCGTTATTTTAATGAGAAATAGATTCGTCTCATGACCCGTTGAATGCGCCTTCAATATTTCTTGTGGTTTACGCGTTTTTCCCTTTTTCCCCCTTTCCACGCCCCCTTAGTTTTTGGGTTTGCTTTTTCTTCCTTTTTCTTCCACTAACAATAACGCCGTGTTTAATGTCTAATTTTTCTCACAAAATTCAAAATATCCCTTTTTTTCAGTTATTTCAAGTTCAACTTGAATATGGATGACGCCCATAACACTCTGGCTCATGAGGTTATTTTTTGATCTTTTTTCTTTCGATAAAATTAACGGAATCAAAAAAAAAGCTTTCTTAGCTCAACAAAGATACTTACTTTAAATATCCAAAACTGCAAAATATTCAAAATGCAAAAAATTTGACAGTTATTGAGACGAAAGTTTCAAATTTGCAGCGTGTACTCCTATAATACTCACGTCTTTTTTTCTCAAACCTTTTTTCAGCTCCTAACCGAAAAGCGAATTGCTTTTCAACTGAAAGAGATTGAAAAAGTTTTTCAGTAAATTTGGATTTTAATGAGTTTTGAGAGCTTGAAAAAATTTTTAAAAAATCATAAGGTTGGAATGGAAATCGTTCCGAAACAGTGCAATAGTCTTTTCTCCACTTTGAGCTGTCAAAAATTTTTTTTTCAATTTACCTTATTCTGTTTTTGATTGAAACTATGATAACGTTAACCAGATGCACCAAGTAATCTCAGTCTTATTCAAAAGTCCTATAGTGTTTCCTGCCTATGAGAGTAAACATTGATAAAAGAATTTCAGCCAACAGAAACTGCCCAGCCGAACGGCCCGGCCATCACAAGCGGTGAAGCAGAAAAAGTTCCAGAGGTCAGAGACGGCGGAGCGACAGAAGACCCCGAATTGAACAGAGTCAGTTTATGAACTCCGCTTGAAGAGATGGTTTTCAATATGCTGATTGACGAAACTGTTCCTTATCCCACGTCGAAAAAACTGACCAAAGCTATTCTTCGGAACATCATCGAAAAATTTTTGGTTGACGAGGGAGCTGAAAAATTCACACGCGTTGAGGTTGACGCAATGTGCGCAGAACACAACGCCGACGTTGTGCGCCTTCCGCCTTACCACTGCTGTTACAATCCAATCGAGCTGAATTGGAGCCAGCTCAAACATACTCTTTGTTCCGAAGGAACAACTCATGGCAACCTCGAAATGGTAAACTTGTCATTTCTGATGAAAAAAAAAAAATCCTTCGAAACAAAAACGAAAAAATTATTTTAGATTCGTAGAAGAGCTTTGGATTATTTGAAGGGCGTGCAACCGGATTTGGCCATAAAATGGATTAAACATTGCGAAAAAGAAGAAGAAGAAGCGTTTGAAGCGGAGTTTCCGTTTCATGCTGTGCAATCTATGTTATTCCCTCCGTTGCAGAGATGCACGAAAGTAGAAATTGAGAATGCGGAATGCGGAACTAAATTAATTTTTGCGAGTTGCGTAACTCAGAATTCCGTGCATCTCTGCTCCTGTTGCTGGTTTTTACGTGATTATAGTTCCATCAATAGATGTTTTCTTCTCATTCTTGTTGAAATTTTGGAAGGCTAGTTTGTGTATAGTCTGACATAGAACGCTTGAAAATTGCCACAGCTCCCCTCTCTGACATTCACTGTTATTTCGTTTTCTCGAAGCGGAAGAATTTTGACGACTTTTGGGCGCCCCATAGCAATCAGTAATCTGATTGACTTCGCGACGGTGAAGTGTGCGACAGAGCGCACTTTGCGGCAGACATCTGGATTAAGGGTCTCGCAGCGACGCGAAACGCGGGAAACATTGACGTTGTTCTCGTCGTTACTTCATTCTCATTCAGTCGTTGTACTTCGGTCTGCTGCGGTCTTCTGGTTCTGGTCCTCTGGTTCTGGTCTTCTAGTCGCGGTCTTCTAGTCAGAAAAAAAGGTTTCTTCTTTTAAAATTGAGAATTTGAGCATGGTGAGGTTTTCAGAAACTTTACCTGCCACAATAAAAACTTCCTGGCTAGTTTTCATATAATCTGAAGTTTCAAATGAAAATTTTTATGTAAAAGTATGTTTTCCAGGTGTCCTATGATCGATCTGATGTACTCTTGTTCCCCGTGGACGTGGTTGTTTACATCGGCGACCCTCAAAAAGCAAATGCGATTAGAGCTGATCGATTAGTTCCTAGAAATGTCGGTTCAATTTCGTTAAGGTTCTATAGGTTGCTGAAAAGCGATGAATTCCTGGCCAATCCGACAAAGACGGCAAGAAAGACGCATGTTACGAGGCTCCGGTCCCTACCTTCAACTTGAAACTTTTTTTTTTTGATTTCATTTTTGGTTGTATAAATTACTTGTGTCAGTTTGCAATTTTTTGAACAAAAGATTTTAATTCGATGAAAAAAAGTCCATTTTTGTTCTAACAAAATGTGTGGACTTTCCACTCTGGGGAATTTAGGTCCAGTTTTAAAAACTAACTGAAAGTTTATTCAGTGTGATAAATTCAAATTCAAATTCAAATAACTTCAACCTGCACGTTTTCCAATAAAAGAGTAAATTATACTATTGAGCTGCTTATAATCTACACTTTTAATGTATTTTTCCTTATCTCTAGAAAACATTTCTGTGGAGTCAATAAATTTTCATTGCTTCAAAAATAAATTTACACCTGCGAAAAATTTTTGAAAAAAAGCTAAGGAGTTTCTCAGATGAGTAGTACTTTCAGTTGTAAAATTCGAAAAATCTAATAATTGCTTCATCACAACTTTGATGAATGAATTGAAAATTTTACGATGGCTGAAGCTTCAAGCTTTATTTTTCAAACAAAGAAAACTTTTTGATGGCTACTTCATGTTCACTTTTTTGAAAATGAGATAGAAAAAAATAGATCCTATTCCGAATAGAGCCTTTGAAGTTCATCCAAACGCAGAAAACATCGGAAAACGTCTTGAAATATCAATTGAACCCAGAGATTTTTTTCAAGGCCACAATCTCTTCTCAAGTCCCCATCATAAACCTGAATAAAATAAAAAAATTATAAAAACGATATTGAATTTCTATGTTTTCTCTAACAGCGGCAGTTCCTTTATTCAAAAACCATGCAAGCGATTTTTTGATCAGCTCTCCAAGAAAAATCGCATTAGCTTTTTTTTTTTGACATTTCCTAACGGAAATTTGAAGCTAAATAAATACAAAACTCGTCCATGCGAAAAGTTCGTTGCGTCAATTTTTAAATGAAGTTAATCATTATCCCTAAGCATTGCGCGGAAGTAGAATCGAAAAACACGGAACGCGGAATGCGAAATGCGAAATGGGGAACGCGGTGCATCTCTGCTCCGTTGGCTCAAATTCTTCTTCAGAATCAAAATCCTCTCGTCGACAGTTCTGAGGACTCCGACGAGAGTGACCTTGATTAAGTCATCTTTGAAGTCCAACCCAATATTGCGATATTTTTTTTTTACATGTCCCACGGATTTTAAATAGTTTATCCAACTAATTTATATGGTGGAAAAATATAAACTGCGACAATTTGGACAATCACCTCATTGCAAAAATTCAACGAAAACAAAATTGTTTTAAACAAAAACAAAAAAACGTCGTGTAGACTCTATGCTGGGAAGCGACTAAGCGCCCATTAAAAGCGCCCAAAACCGCGCGAACGCGCGCTTTAAAGCGCTTTGGTGCCGCTCGCATGCTGAGCAGGGTAACCCCGCCGTGCTAACACGGGGTCTCCGCGGGTGCCCCCGTATTAAACCCGTATAAGCCCAGCTGATAGAACTTTTGGCACTTTTAGCCCAACTGAGACCCCGCTTTAGCCCAGCTGGGTTACCTATTTTTCTTACACCCGTTGTTCCCCCGTTTTAGCCCAACTGAGACTAAAATAACCTCAGAAACACGGGTTTAATACGGGTACACCCGTTGAGACACCTGATCAGCATGCGAGCGGTTTGGTAGGCGCTTAGTGGCGCGACAGTCCTATAGGGCACACTTTCTTCTCTTTTCCCATTTGCTTTTTTGCTTGTATTTTGAGCTGGAAGGCCTAAAGGTCGTCGGTATTTTTGTCTAACCAATGCTTTTCTTTTCTGATTCCATACGATCAGAGTGCAAAAATAGCAATGGTTAGACAAAAATACAGACAACCTTTGCGCTTTCAGCTCGCAGGAATAGCATCAAACATCAAGTAATAATATGAATTTATTTTCTTTAAAAATGCATGTACGACTTAAATAAACTATCGAGATAAGGTACACATAATAATGAGGTCAAACATAAAAAAACAAAAAAATATACTTCAACCAAACTAGAAATTGAAGGAAAGTGAACTGAAACATAAATCAATATAATTTCAAATTTCAAACGAACAAAAATACAAAACTAATTTAATAAATGAGAAAAAAATATCTTATAACAACGAAAGTAAAACGAAGTTTCATCTCAATAATTTCAAAAACTTAGCTGAAATGCTTGTTAGAGTACGCTCATCGCAACAAAATGAAAAATTAGTCGACTTGCGTCTTTGAACCGAGTACGGCGCTTTGAATATATAATAAGTTTTGTTTGAGTGATAGGACTCATGTCAAAGGTAGGCCATAACTATGCTAAAAAACAAAGTTCGATTTTTTTTTTGTTACGATCAGATTGCTTTGGAAGCATTTTAGCAAATTAAAAAAATTTCGTTCTCAAATTACTTTTAAAATGAAGGAGGTTAGAAGAGTCAAATCAGTCCCTGCGAGATTATTCAAAAGAGTCGCTGCGAGATTCTTTTGGTAAATGAAGACATGAGGCGTTGTATGAAGACTTGAAGCTTTCCCTTTTCGATGCGCGTCTTTCATAATCTGCAACAGAAAATTTGAAGTCCAAAGGTTGGATCAAAAGCGAACCTCAAGAAATAACCTTCGAAAAACTATTTTCTCTTCTAGTTTTTTCGGCACGTTTGGCAACCTTTTGGCAATTATCTGGAAAAAGACATCACGTTCAACGGCTGCTTCTATTTTTTATTTGTTTTGGTTTTCGGGTGACTGGCGCGGCAAAAGCGGTTTAACGCACCAAGCTAAATCGGGTAAATTACAGGTTTATCCGAGTTTCACCCGAATTAGCACAGCGGGTTCACCCCACCAATAAGGGAGATGGTAATTTTAGAACAGAAGGAGACATTTACTGACAAGGAGTCATAAATTTGAGGTTGGCAAGATGGATACTGCACATTCACGATAGTTTAATTATTATTATAAAAATAATAAGATAAAACTGAAAAAAACTAAAACTAATTGGAAAATAGAAACGAATTTTTTTCAAAAACATGTCCATTTCAAATTTTAACAATCGCCGGTATCAATTTGGTGAAAAAAACTATTAATTATAATATACTCGTATCTTGAAAAAAATAGTTAAGTTGAACATCTTTTGATAAATTACAAAGAATAAATACTCTTTCGGCAAAATGGTTTCTAAATAGTACGGATTAGCAGGATTCAGTGGAGAACGTATTAAAAACATAAATCGTAGCCGAAGTCAAAAACAAAAGCAAAATCGAAATGAAAACAAAAAATGAAAATAAATAAAAATCCCAAAAATTTTCGAATATGAAGAATTTACGATGGGAGGGCAAGTTCGCTATTTCGCGCAAATCTCACAAACCGCTTTCAAGGCGCCTGAAATTTTAGAGGGCGCTTAGTGGCGACACAGCCGATAGTGGGCGCTTAGTCGCCTCCCAGCATAGAGGAGCTGTTGGAATAAGAAAAGTTCCTGTCGGCTCAAAACTGTCGCAGAGGGAAACCGACCGACAACATAATTGGAAGTTTCTAAATTTATTTGAACAAAGCTGTGTCACAAAAAAAAAAATAGAATGAAAACTTAGCTTTGAACTTCAACTTCTAGCTACGATCGAGCAACCGCTCTTTTCAACACTCTTCAAAGCGCAAGGAAGCACGCGCACAATCCTTTGCCCCTGAAAACGCAAAAAAAGCCAAAATTGAAAACCAAGTTTTGTCTAAAAGCTTTACGTAAAATTTATATTGAGGAGAGTCGTTTGCCAGTTGGTCAAAGTGTTTTCTGGAGATCAAATTCAGTACGTGCTCCATCACGACTTATCAGAGTAGGGATACGTTTCAACAATTTCTTTGAGACGTTTTTCATTTTTTGGAATAAACTGGCTATGCTGGGAAACCTCAATGTTTCTCCAGATCGTTTCAGGTCTTTTTTACTATCCCTCGATAACAATTTACTTTTTGGATCTATTCCCAGCAGACTCCGTTAAACCAGGTACCCGTGCTTCATCCCTACTCTAATCCATTTAATGCTTGTCTATATCATTACAGCCAATTAAATTCCCCTTTACGTGTGCTACACTGTGTCATAACTTATAATGCGGTAGGAGCTGTGGCTTAAGCAGAGAAGTTTTGAGGAAGGCGTGTTGCAACACCGAAAAATCGGCTTATGAAGAATGCAATTAGGGATGATACGTTATCAACGGAAACTTTGGAGTTTGCAAATTTTTGTTGATAAGAACAGGTCATATAGGCGCCGTTTTTGGACTCGGTTTCATTGAAAAAGCTACCAGATGATGATTTTCTCTTTTTTTTTCCTGCGGTTGATATTTCCAAACCACTCTATGAGGTTTTGATTCTTCACAAAGTTTTGAAACTTTCAACAGTAAGATCCTAAGGATTTTTATTTGGATTTATTTGAAAGAATAGCCAAATGATGATTTTTTGCTTTTTTTTTTATTCGGATTTTTATGAAGGCTTGATGAAGTTTTCGAAGGCGCAAAATTTTAACGATCCACTGTATTTTTATCGTTTTTATTTGTTTCTCTTTGAGCAAAAGCATCTTTTTCTTAACAATGTCAAAGTGCAGCAATCTTTCGAACAAAGGCTGTTTCGTTATCACCCTTATGTTCAGTTTTGTTTCGAATTGAGGAAAAGGCACGATTTTTTAAAACTCGAAAGGTTTTCAGAACCATTTTCTGTGATGGAGCAAAATTTTTTTATGATAACGGTAGAAAAGGTTCCTTTCCTCGAACTAATTTTTTTTTTCTAAAGGCTCGAACGTCTTGTGAACTTGCTCAAGTTCCATCAATTGAATTGTCTTTTTGAAGCAGAACTGCTTGAATTTTTCGGTACGAGTAGTAGTAAATTGGACAGATATCAATAAGGTGTTTTCAAAGAAGAATTGATTCACGGCGTTTATAACGGTGGACGTGGAAAGAAAAACTGGCGGGCGATAAAATGGAAAAAAAAGTACGGTAGGAGGATGCAAGTCTGCGCCAGCGCACACTTCTTGTCTTCTGTATTTTTAATTCATTTTCCGTCATTTTTGCTTTGTTTCGTTATTTTCAGATCTTTGTTCTCCATTTTTTCCTTAGCGTTGTTAACAACTGAAACGAGAATTTCAATGATCATGATTTTTTTTGGTTTCGATTTCGCGAAGTTTTCAACTTTCTCAAATCGTATAAAATTTGGAAGTTTAGCCTTTTATTAGAAGCAGTTTTATGGTTCTATTTTGTTATTCACCGTTTGATTGATAGTTCTCCGTGAAAATTTTTGTTTAAAGCAAGACATTTTCAGGAATATGATGACGAAAAACAGGTTTTTCAAGAAAAGTTCTAATTTTTTTATTTCAATTTTATTCCAAAAGGTTTCTTTGGTTTTATCTTTTCTCCATTGTTATATTAACAGTTCGCGGTAGTTGTTTTTTTCAGAAAATAGCGAGTTTTAAAGGTTTTAGAGCAATCAACTGATTTTTCGGAAAATCGCTAATTTTTTTCTCTTAATAAGCTTCCTTTTTTTTGCGGGATTTTATTTCGTTCTCCGTTGTGAGATGAGCATTTCCATGTACGATCTTTCTAGAAATAAACATTTTTACAGATTTTACCGGTCGAAAAAATTTTCACGTGAGCGTAAATCTACGCGTAGAAACGTCTCCTATAACTATGCGACAGTTGCGCTAAGCCACGCCCTCTTCAGCCTTTTTAAGACGCGGAGAATTTTCAAAAAAATGATGGATTTCCTCGAAGTTTTGTTCCAAACAAATTGGTCAGTACTATGTTCTGTTATCAAAATTTATTTCCTGGTAGAAAAAAAAAATGAATGGGAGATTTGTGAAGATAACTTGATAGCAACACTCAGTACAGATAAATCCGTCAAATTCTCTTTTTTTGTGCCAGATTTCGGCGATTTGAAACGATTTTTTTTTTCGAGAAGTACTCGCCGGAAACTGTTAGCGGCGTTCATAATCAGTGATTTCTTTCGCATTTCTCAATGGGAGGAACAGGTTTCGAGCGCATTCCGTCGTTGTTTTTTCGTGTGTAGAAAGGGCAGGCTTCCTTCCTTCTTATCCATTCAATACGTTCTTTTCGCACGTCGTTCATCATTCGCTTTTTTCTAATTTCACAGCTTTTTCCTGAGATATTGAGATCGTTATCTTTTCATTCGCCAAGCCTTTTCCGTTTTGACGTCGGCTGGTCGCGAAATGTTTCTAATTTTATGCTTTTCATATTTCTTTCGTTCTGTTTTGATTTTGGAACTTTCGACTTGGACCCTTTTATGCTTGGGACTTGAATTTTTTTACTTCTACCTGTAGTTATATTCCAAAATCGTATCGGTATATTTTTTCTATAGTTCAGTTAGAGCTATTTTTATTTTTTACTTTTAACAAGCGGTATGGGAAAATTTTTTACTGGCCGCTTTTGGGATTTGACGTTTTAGTGGTCACTATAGTAGTCGAATTAGTGACCGAATAAATTTTAGTGACCTCTTTAGGAGCCCAAGCGCTACTACTAGACCATTAAAAACTACTTTAGTGGCTTCTATGGAGGTGGTTTTAGAGGCCACTCTAGTGCCCTCTCCAAATGGGGCTCGCGGAACCTGTCAAGTGGCCTCTAGAGTTTTTTTCCAGCTTTTCATGTGCTTTTTATCATTTTTTGCAGACTATTCTTATTATTGATCAAATTTTTATTTAGATTGTACTTTCTAAATTTTTACAGACCTCCAGAACAAAAATTTAGCTTCTTAGGCTCGATTTGAACTAGAAAAATATTGGAAATGTTGCGAAATTGTTCCTTGCAAGAAGTTGTTTTTTGATAGCTTGTGATGGACAGCAGAAATCAGCGGAAGCGATATTTTTAAAAGAGGAAAATTTTTTGGCCAAAAATGTTGATAACTGGAAAACTGCCTTGTGGAGAATAAAAATCGAAAAAGACAAGAAATTATTCTAAATTGGGCTTCCATAGTTCAGAAAACTTCTCAAAAATTCAAAGAAAGAATTTTTTTAACCTTTTCTGAGTTATGGTAGCCTCATAACAAATAATATTTTTTTTTTTTTTGAATTACAGAATAGGCATAGTTTCCCAGTTATCTCCTTTATTTGGTTAAAAAGTTCTCCTTACAAAAATTTTCTCTTCCGCATTTTTTCGCGGAACTGTTCCGCCCGTCTTTGTCTTCTGACAATCATTGAAAAACGAACTTTTTTGCACAGTTTTCTAATTTTAGCACACTAAAAAGATTGATAAGGAGAAATGTTGCAAAGTCTGCCCTTACCGTCATTTTAGGGCAGTTTTCGTCCTTAAAATTGGATTGATAACCGTATCAAACAGCTTTTTTTCTCTCCGGTTCCAAAATTACTATACGGTTTTACTCGGTAAGAACGATTTTCCACATAATATTTGCTCGTACTTTTTATCGACAAAAGATTCAAGAACGTTTCGATATGATGCAAGGTAAATATTTTGACAAAATTTAACCGTTTTCCATTCATTTTTGTGCTCTTGGAGGATGTTTGATTTTTTTAGCGGTAGGTAACTTGGAAATCCTGTTAAGTTGTGTTAGGCTTTGAAAAGAAATCATTTGAAGGGAAGGAATTTTTTAGTTCAATATGGCAGCCTTTAAGGCATAGGGGCAGTAAAAAACGGTGTTTCAGTTCAAAGCAGTACTTTGTAGAGCTTTTCATTGCGAATCGAACGGTGAACTTCAAAACGTACCGAACTTCTCAGTTTTGAAGAAAAAATTATTCAAAGTCGGAGAGCTCCCGCCAAAAGAGCGCTTTGCAGTAAAGTTGCTCCGTGGACAACACGCTTCGCCATTTTTCGGATTTTCGCTTTTTCTTCGTTTCTTTCAATTTTCAATTCTTTCTGTTGTCACCAAAGTTCTTTCCGTCACAAAAACGTTCTATTCATGTGTAGTTTGCACTTTAATCGCAAAAATGCTTCTCTGGTGAAAAATGATGATTTTACACAGGTTTCGATTGGGATAGCGATTATTTGTGTTTCCTTTATTATCGGTGTGTGTTTTTTGTTTGACTGAATGTTTTTTTCAGAGAAGAAACCCTTAAGTTGAAGCAGAAATCCGGTTATTTCTCACAAAATGCGAGTCTGATGAGATGTCCGAATGCAGCTTTTAAAATATTTGTTTATTTTGTCTTGCCGATTTTCTCAAGCTTTTGGAACCAAATTAATCCTAGACTGCAATATTTCCATTACCACGAGCAAAAGCCGAAATTCTTAAAAGTTTCTCAAGAGTTACAAAGGAGGTCAATTTACTTTGCGACTGGGATTTACCAGTAAATTGGTCAGAACGCTCCTTGATCTACTAGAAACAGATTCTGGAAGTCTCAACCTACATATATTCTTTTTGGGAAAAAGACGCCTTAAATTTGAAGAAACCCCTTCACCTGAAAATATTCTTTATACAAAAGTCCAGAAAAAGCAGGAACCCGTAAGCCCTTTTTACAAAAATTTTTTTAAAAAGCTTTTTTTAGGTCTTTTTGCATTTTTGCCCGTGAAAAAAATTCCGTGATTTTTTTAAAATAACTTTGTTCGATCACTGGTTTTTTTAAATCTAGAAAATGCTATTTTTTTCAAAAAAATGCTTTAAAAAAATATGTAATATATCTATCTAATAATTTCATGATTCATGATCCCCATCAGTTTATAAGAAAAGTCTGAAAAATGGGATAACTCTACTATAAAATGAGCAAAACTCATTTTTACGGCCAAAATAAGATTTTTGATAATTTTCTAACGGATTTGACTCATTTTCAGATCTTCAACTTCAAACTTAGCGATCGTTTCGAAACGTTTTGTTTCTCCTCCTCATATTTGCTTTTCCGGTCGGCGTTTGTTCGAGAAAAGTTAAGAGCTTCGCCGCTCGTTCCATTATTTTTTGTTTTCGAAACTTTCTTTGATAAAATTGGCCATTTTTCTGTAAATTCCAGAAATTTTTTGTTCAGAGCTCAATATTTCTGAGACGCTCTAGAGTGGTCTCTCTAGGGGAAATCTTTAC